TTCTTGAGGCCCCGTGGTTTTGGAAGAGTTAAGTAGGGATGATATCATTGATCTTTCTCCCTCCCAGGGTAGCTGTGGGGTTCGACTTTTACATGTATGCTCATGCATGTAATGTATTTTTTTTTTTTTTTGAGATGGAGTTTCGCTGTTGTTACCCAGACTGGAGTGCAATGGCACGATCTCGGCTCACCGCAACCTCCGCCTTCTGGGTTCACGCAATTCTCCTGCCTCAGTCTCCGGAGTAGCTGGGACTACAGGCACGCACCACCATGCCCAGCTAATTTTTGTATTTTTAGTAGAGATGGGGTTTCACCTTGTTGACCAGGATGGTCTCGATCGTTTGATCTTGTGATCCACCTACCTCGGCCTCCCAAAGTGCTGGGATAGGCGTGAGCCACTGCGCCCGGCCCGCATGTAATGTATTTTTTATATATTGTGGAGAACAACAGACATAAAACAAAATTTTTATTTGGCTTAGAATTATGACTATCATGACTACAGTTAGCAAAGGTTAGAAAAGAGCAAAGTTTCTAAAGAAATTATCTTTGGGCTGAGTGTATTGACTCACACCTGTAAACCCAGCACTTTGGGAGGCAAAGGTGGAGAATAGCTTGAACTGAAGAGTTGGAGACCAGCCTGGGCAACATAGCAAGACCCTGCCTCTAAAAAGGTAAAAATTAAAATATATGTAAAAAAGAAATGATCTTTGGAAAAGTCCATTTTAGGGCAGATTGATAGGAATATATTCATAAATATTAAAAAAAAGGCAAAGACTTGTACAGAGGTACTTGTGTCTTTTTTTTAAATTGAAGTGAAATTGACATGTGAAAGGCATAGATCTTAAGTGTACTATTTGAAAAGAACATTCTGCAAATGTATACACCTGTGTAATCACTACCCCAATCAATGTAATATTTTCATTACCCTAAAAGTTTCTCTCCTAACTCTTAACATACAATCGCAACCGCTTCACCTCCCCAGGCAACTACTGTTGTAATTTCTGTCCCCATAGTTTAATTTTACTTGTTCATCAACTTCATATATATGGAGTCATACAGTGTATGTCTGGTTTCTTTTGCTCAAATAATGTTTCTGAGATTCATCCATACTGTTGATGTGTATCAGTAGTTCCTTTTATCCCTTAGTGTTGCATTGTGTAAATATAGTTTATCCTTTCTGCTGTTGATGGGGGTTTAGGTTGTTTCCAGTTTGGGTCTACTATGAGTAAGTTCCTGTGAACATTCTTGTAGAGTCTTTTTGTGGATATTTTTTATTTCCATAAATACCTGGGAATAGAATCATAGGGTTACAGCCTAGAAGTATGTTTTACTTTATAAAAAACTGCCAGACTTTTTCCAAAGTGATTTTATACTCCTGTCAGCAATGTGTGAAGATTCTAGTTGCTCTAGATCTTTGTGACATTTGCTATTGTTGGTCCTTATAATTTTAGTCATTTTAATTTGGGAGAAATTGTACCTTGTTTTAATTTGTATTTCTGTGATGACTACTGTTGAGCACCTTTACATATGATTATTTCCATTCAGACACCTGTGTGAGATGTCTGTTCAAGTCTTTAGCACAACAAAATTTTAGTTTTAGCCCAAATTAATGTTATTATTGGGATGTTTGTCTTATTATTGAGCTATAAGAGTTCCTTTATATTCTCTATACAAATTCTTTGTCAGATATTGTGAATATTTTTTCCCACTCTTTGGTTTGCCTTATTTTCTTAATTGAGTATTTTTATGGGCAGACATTTTAAATTTTGATGAAGTCTAATTTATCAAATTTATCTTTTATGTTTAGTGCTTTTAAGAGAGGCCTCTCCAAGAATTCTCTGCCTACTTCAGGCTTAGGAAAAATCTTTGTTTTCTCCTGGAAGCTTTATTGTTTTAACTGTAACATTTAGTTGTATGAAGAAATATTTATTTTAATTCAGCAATAGGAATATCATTAAGCATCGATTTTAAATCTGAATTTTCCAGAAGGCTGCCTACCTGAAGAAAAATAAAAAATAATTGCTTCATATTAAAAGAAATTTTTCTTCTTATTGTGAAACAACAATTATAGCTATAATATAACAATGTTTTATTCTTTTCTCTCAGGACTTTAATTTTTGGAAGTGAATACAACTTATTTTGGAAGACAAGATGACTACAGCTGTAGAAAGAAAGTATATTAATATTAGAAAAAGACTGGATCAGCTGGGATACCGCCAGACTCTGACAGTGGAGTGTTTACCTTTGGTAGAAAAACTTTTCAGGTAAAGACAAAAATACCGTTTTAAGATCTCTAATCCACTTACCTTATTTCTGATTGAACTTCATGCTTCAGTAAAGAAAATGGTAGATTTTCTAAAAGGCTTTAAACCATCTGAAGCTCATCTGTTTTTTCACTGTCCTTAGTCCAGGCCTTCCATATTGCAGAACTCTAAAGGTCACCAGTCATGCTGTACTGTTCAAAGTAAACGTTTCTGAGGGTTTTCTCTGTGATTAGAATTATAGTTTTTTTGGGTATCTGATATTGTTGAGAGACAATTTTCCCTTAAGTTCTTTCTTCCCCCTTAAGTTCTGTGTCTGCTTCACTGGTCTTCAAATACAGTCATGCATAGCTTCATGAAGGGGATAGGTTCTGAGAAACGTGTCATTCATTAGGTGATTTTGTCATTGTATCAACATTATAGGGTGTGTTTACACAAACCTAGGCTATATGGTATATATCCTATGGTTCCTAGGCTTCAAAGCTGCACAGCATGTTATTACTACACTGAATATTATAGGCAGTTGTAACACAATGGTATCTATTTGTGTATCTGAACCTAGGTAATCATATAAAAGATAATGTGTTGTTCTACAGTGTTACAATGGCCAGGATCTCATGAGGCAATAGAAATTTTTCAGCTCCCCCTGTTATAAATTTTATAGGACTACTGTCCTTCCTGTATGTGGTCTCTTGTTGACCAAAATGTTATTATGTGGCACATGACTCTTTTTATGTTTTTAGTTGTTAGAAAGTTAATGAAATGTTTCCTGGTATTTAAATTTTCTGTTCTTTTAGTGACTTAGTTCATACAACAGAGAGCCTTCGGCAATCAAAATTATCTGCTGTGAAAGCTGAAAAAGAAAGTGCCAATTTTGATTTTGTTTTGGAACCCTATAAACTTGAAAATGCAAGATTGAGTAGAGAAAATAATGAATTGTACCTAGAGTTAATGAAACTGAGAGAACATTCAGACCAACGCATTAAAGGTAAGTGAAAATTTGGTAATTTTTAAAATGCAATGTCTTTGTCCTTTTTGTTTTATATGAAGGAAAGGCTAATGTCTAATTTTAAAGTGATCAATTAGAAAATATGGTAGTCCTGCAGCTGGTTGCTGTGTTCCTGTAATCCCAGCTACTCAAGAGTCTGAGGTGGGAGGATCGCTTGCGCCCAGGAGTTTGAGACCAGCCTAGGCAACATAATGAAAACTTGTCTCAAAAAAGAAGAAAAGAAAATATGAATTAACTGGGCGTGGTGGTGTGCGCCTGTAATCCCAGCTACTTGGGAGGCTGAGGCAGGAGAATTGCTTGATCCCGGGAGGTAGAGTTTGCGGTGAGCCAAGACCGTACCACTGCACTCCAGACTGGCAGAAGAGCGAGACTCTGTCTCAAAAAAGGAAAATATGATAGTCCTTCTGCTAATATCTCCTGAAATTCTGTAGGGTGTGCTGAAGAGTTCCTGAGAAGGAAAATAAATGTGCATTCTATAGCTATGATAGTCTTCACTATATGTGGATTAAATTTTTAGAATTAAAATTGCCATAGGGAATATTAAATTGGAATTGAAGAAATGTTCTTGAAACAACTTTTGTTTTTCCCTTACTGAAAATAAAAGTAGTAAATGAGGTGAAAACCATGTATCAGGCTGGTCTTGAACTCCCAACCTCAGGTGATCTGCCCGCCTTGCCCTCCAAAGTGCTTGGATTATAGGTGTGAGCCACCATTCCCGGCCATATCATGCTGTTTTATAGGCAGTCTTTGAGCTGTCAAGTAGAATAGGATAGTTGCAAAGGTTGTAGGGAAAAGGTAATTATATGGTTATCTTAGTATGAATTATTCTTATATTTAGTAGAAAATTATATCTAATACATGGTGTGAATTCAAAATCCTTTAGCTTCAGACCCAATTTACAGGAGCAAAAGCTGTGATGTACATTAGGCTCAGCAGTAGCTGAAAAATGAAGATTTCTTTTTGTGCTTAGTGAGTTAATTACAGTTTTGTTAATAATTATAGAAGTAATAAGCTTCATGTAAAGCATTCATAAGAAGCAGGTGGAGACTTTTAAGTTGATACGACTTTTTGTATTTTGTGAAATGGAAAAACTTCATGGATTTCTTGACCTTTAAAGTGGTCTTTGAATCTTTTTCCTTATAAGAGTTGAAAACTTCATTGAAGAAGTGTGCACGTGAAACATCTGATCTGAAATTTCTAAATAACCAATATGTTCATAAACTCAAACTATTGGAGAAAGAGAGCAAAGCTAAGAATGAAAGAATTCAACAACTTCAAGAAAAGAATTTGCATGCTGTAGTACAAACTCCAGGTAAACTGATTCCTTCTCAAGACACATTGTACACATTTGATCTTTTAAAGATATTGAAACCATTGACTAAAATAGGACTCGGATTAGATTTTCATGCTTAGACTTTAGTGTTTGGAAATATATATTGAATAGACCATAAACTTCTTGATTTATTTCTAATGATCCAGGTAGTAGTTTAACATGTGCTTAGAAATGTATGTAGTGTTAGCTACTTAGCTACAAGTACTCTAATGCCCAGAGCTTTCTCTAATCAATATTTTAAATTCTTTTTTCTTTTACTATTACCAGTATTATTTTAGTTGTAAAAGTAATCCATACTCATTAAAGAATTTGGAAATTATGTGCCTTCTTAGTTTATTTTATTATTTTTAGCATTATGCTCAGTAATAGAGCAAGAAAAAGAAATGATGGGGCCAGGTGCGATGGCTCACACCTGTAATCCTAGCACTTTTAGAGACTGAAGTAGGCAGATCATTTGAACCCAAGAGTTCGACACCAGTGTGGGAACATAGTGAAACCCCATCTCTACCAAAAATGCAATAATTACCTGGGCATGGTGGCACAAGCCTCTATAGTTCCAGCTACTTGGGAGGCTGAGGTGGGAGGATTGCTTGAGCCTGGGAGGCGGAGTTTGCAGTGAGCTGAGATTGCACCACTGCACTCCAGCCTGGATGACAGAGTGAGACTGTCTCGAAAAAAGAAAAAGAAATGATGGGCCATATCCAGAGTAGGTGATTGTTCAGCAGGTATGGGTTGGTGGAAGAATCCAATATTAGTGACAAAATCATTAAGAATCTGAACCATGGGATCAAAATTATGGAAGTAAGTGAGTCACAGGAGGCTGCCAGATCATGAGACTAGGTCAAGATGGAGAGATTAAGCAGCATTGTGAGGACCAAAAGTAATTTGGTTGCTATGAAGATTGCAGTCAGAATGGAATTTTGAAGTTGAAGAACTAGAAGCCAGCAGAGTTCTGAGTGATGAAAAAGGCCAAAGTGTTGTCATGTTGTTTTGTGCCTGAAGCTGAGTGAAGAGGAGACTTCTGAGAGAGAACTGTGAAGCCAGGGTTGGGGAAGACTCAGTGCATCATGAGATAGTGTAGGAAATGAGCTGGGCATCAGGACTGTGAGCCAAAAGCAGAAAAGATGGAGAAAAGTGGGAGTCACTAGTAACCTTGGAAGTTACTAGAAGATTAAGGCATACACACAAAAAAAGGATAATCAGGTTTCCTGAGGAAAGAATGGGATAGACTTCAGCGAGATTCAAGATGTGTAATCAGTATGATGACTAAATGTAGATTTGGGAAGTAGAGGAATTCTCAGACTTCTCTTTAGAGTGAATGAGTAGGTGGAGGATGATACTATTTCTTAAGTTAGAGAATGTGGGAAGCAGAGCAGGAGTCCACTTTTGGATGTGTGGAGTATGCTATATCCACGAGACATTCATGCCTAAATTTTTGGTAAACTGTGGAATATGTAGATCTGTTCTCAAAAGTGTGGGCCTGGGTGGAGATGCAAATTTGAGAGTCATTGGAATCTCATGGTAATTGAAGCTATGGGTGTAGTAAGAATTACCTAGTGAAATTATGTAGACTGGGAAAAGAGGCGACCCAAAATCAGACGCTAGGGGAATTGGTATTTAAGGGACTGGTAGAAGAAGATGGTTTTTGAAAGAAACTGAGGGGCCACCAAGGAGAAAAACCAGGAGATAAAGAAAGAAGCAAGTGGTTAGCTTTGTTCAAGTCAAACAGGTTAATTAAATACTTTGGCCCAGTTTTCTCATCCTTAAAACTAGAGGTAGGAGGGGCCGGGCATGGTGGCTCACACCTGTAATCCCAGCACTTTGGAAGGCCGAGGCTGGCGGATCACAAGGTCAAGGTTTCCTGACCAGCTTGGCCAACATAATGAAACCCTGTCTTTACTAAAAATACAAAAATTAGTTGGGCGTAGTGGCATACACCTGTAGACCCAACTGCTTGGGATGCTGAGGCAGGAGAATTGCTTGAACCTGGGAGGCAGAGGTTGTAGTGAACTGAGATCACACCACTGCACTCCAGCCTGGGCGACAGAGCAAGATTCCATCTCAGAAACAAACAAACAAACAAAAACTGAGGTAGGAGTATACAAAATTTGTTAGAATTTTAATGAGACAAAACAGTGTATTATGTTTGTTCTTCACAAGGATCTGCTAGTTTTTCAAATACATTTCTAATCTTGGCAAAATCCTTAAAAAGATAAATTATCCATGTATTTTGGCCAAGAAAAGATAAATCTAGTCACAAGAAAATTTAGTCCTGCTATTTGTAATGATTAAGAAAACATTCCCTCCTAATTCAGATTATAGCACAGCTTTATATTACAAATAACATTCCATTCATTATATTCTAACTTTGCTACTTACAATTTCAGTTATCTGCTATGTTGATTTACTTAATAAGCACGTATATTTTAGTTCTCACTGCCAGTTTTCTGCTAGTGATAATTTCTTGAGCTCATAATGGTGAACACCACAGGCACATTCAGCTTTTAAACTTGCCAAAGTCTGATCCCCATCTAGTGGACAAACAATAAGCCTGGGCATATATGCCAAGCATGCAGGCATATAAAACTAGTTTGATAACCAGGTCATGTTGAGGTTTTTAGGAATGCATTGTTTAGTTAAAAATCGGAGTGGATATTTACATATTGATGGAAAAAATATTTTATCAATATGTAATATGAACTACAGACACACTTTATAACCAAAAGGCTAACCTGGAATATTTAATTCTAAGACATGGTTTTGTTTCTTCTTAGTTTTTTAAGACACTCATTCTTTTTAGGTGGCAAAAAAAGAAGTATTGCTTTCAGGCGCCAGCGTATGCAAATTGATGAACCGGTTCCTCCCTCTGAAGTCAGTTCATATCCAGTTCCGCAGCCAGATGACCCTTACATTGCAGACCTCCTACAAGTGGCTGATAACAGGTGCATTAAATAGTTCTTTGTTGGCTTGAGTTAATTGAGCACTCAATTAATTAGCTGTACGTTTCTTGATGGGAACCCTCTTTGTCTTGTTAACTATTGTCTCTCCAGTGTCTAGCACAGAACTTCGCACAAGCACTCAGTAAGTACTTTCAGATTGACATAAAATGTTTTTACTTGTTTTGAAACTTTGATCAAATAGATCATATATCTAAGGTTTCTGTTCATACTGGCTTAAAAATAATTTAATGCCATCAAGGACTTGTTTCAGTAGAGCTGCTTTGACATTTTGTGTCATCTCCAAGTAAGAGGTATCTTTTACAGGAATCTTTATTATTTCAGATTTATGTCAAATGCCAGTTAAATATGAAGAGATTTGTAACTGGATTTGAAATTCAGTTTTTTTAATGGTTTCTCTAGCTCTATGTTTATATTTTCTTACATTTGCATCAGATATAAATTCCATTTAATTGAAACTTTGTTAAGCCTCCTAGGCAAGGCACTGTGTAAGTATTCTGATGATGTAAAGGTTTGAAGAAGATGGGTGTTTTTGCTTTTGAGAAGCTTGTAGCCCAGTAGTAGAGATGAGACAAGAGAAGTTCACCAAATGCAATTCAGATAATTATAAGAGGCTCAAAGGAATGGATGAGCACTAGTCTCCATGGTAATAGCTGGAGAAACATTTGAAACTATGGAATACGCTAATGGAAATAGTTTATGCAGGTAGCTTTTTATTTTTTAAATTATTCAGAGAATGTTGGGGGGGGTAATTAATCTCAATAGATCAATCTAAAAGAGTGCCTTGGGACCAGGTGCAGTGGCTCACGCCTGTCATCCCAGCACTTTGGGAAGCCAAGGCAGGAGGATTGCTTAACCCATGAGTTTGAGACCAGCCAGCCCTTTGGGAAGCCAAGGCAGGAGGATTGCTTGAACCCATGAGTTTGAGACCAGCCTGGGCACTATAGTGAGACCTTGTCTCTACAGAAAATTTAAAAATTAGCCAAGCATGGTGGCATGCACCTATAGACCCAGCTACTTAGGAGGCAGATCATTTGAGCCTAGGAGGCAGAGGTTGCAGTGAACCGAGATTGAACCACTGCACTCCAGCCTGGGAGACAGAGTGAGATCCTGTTAAGCTACTGATGAAGATCTCTTTGCTCAGTTGTCACATAGTATTTTTTTTTTCTCAGAGTCTCACTCTGTTGCCCAGGCTGGAGTACAGTGGCACACTGTATCTTGGCTCACTGCAACCTCTGCCTCATGGGTTCAAGCGATTTTCCCATCTCAACCTCCTGAGTAGCTGGGACTACAGGCACCTGCCACCACATCTGGCTAATTTTTTGTATTTTTAGTAGAGATGAGGTTTGACCATGTTAACCAGAATCACTTGACCTCAAGTGATCCACCTGCCTTGACCTCTCAAAGTGCTGGGATTACAGGCATAAGCCACCATGCCTGGCCAATATTTTTATATAGTTATTTGACCTTAACAGGGAAGTGTTTTGTTCTTATAATGAGACTTCTCAGACAAAGTGTTACTATTATTTAGGAAATTATTTGGTGTGCCTAAGTGACATTAGTCTCTTTTAATTGTCCTATTTAATTTATATATGCACATTTTGTTTGTATTCATAGTCATTCATGCATTTATATGAGTGCAGTTGCATACATACTCTTCTCTTAAACCTAGATTAATATAAAATGTTGGTTCCAATAACAGCAGGTACAGGCTGTATTTGGCCTCATTTACCCTACCCCATGGAAAATCTTTTAAAAGCAGACCTGGGGCTGGAAGTGCTGTGGTTACGCCTGTAATCCCCTCACTTTAGGAGGCTGAGGCGGGAGGATTGCTTAAGCCCAGGAGTTCAAGACCTGCCTTGGCAACTTGGAAAACTGTCTCTACAAAACATGTAAAAATTAGCCAAGTGTGGTGGCATGTGCCTATGGTCCCAGGTACTCGGGAGGCTGAAGTGGGAGGATTGATGGAGCTGTAGAGGTTGAGGGTGTAGTTAGCTGTGATGAGGCCACTGGATTCTAGCCTAGGTGACGAAGAGAGACTCTGTTTAAAAAAAAAAAACCAAAAAACAAAAAAACCAGACCTGGCTTCAGACTTTGTCCTTCCAATATGAAAATGGATTGTGTCATATTGTACCTGTACAACTAATTTGGAAAAAATCTTGATACTGTTAGAATTAATAAGTTCCAGAAGGAATAGGTTTTTTGCTACAGTTACACATGATCTTTCTCTCCAGGGTTTCAAAGTAGTATTAGACAATAGAGGGTTAGTTAGGGTCAGAAAACACATTTTAGTTTCTTATTTCACTTACTAAGCCTGTAAATTTTGGAGTAAACTCCCAGTTTTCTTAACTTAAGAATTGGCAGCAGTACCTCAAAGCATTTTCCTGGGGATCAAATGCAATAGTGAGGTGTGTCTTGCATGATGTATCTGAGTTTCAACTTATTTACTACTCAGTTTTTAATCTATTCTTATAAACCAACTCTCCATGATGATGTACTATATGTTGATTTGGGAACCCTTTGGCACAATATGCTCTACATCTTTGAGAAGCTGAAAGTATAGAATTTATGAAGGAACACATCTAGTTTCATTTCTTGTTATTTTGTGTTTCTTCACAAAAGTATATTGGCATTAATTTAAAGTGCTTTTCAGGATTCAAGAACTTCAACAGGAAGTGCACCAGCTACAAGAAAAGTTAGCAGTGATGGAAAGTGGGGTGAGAGATTATAGCAAGCAGGTAGGATTTTTATTTACTTGCATAGCAGGGATTGAGATAGGTATGCTGTGATTGTAAATAGAATTGGGTTATATTTGATATTACCAAAACTGAGTTTTTACACAGCTTTTATCTTTTTCATCAGGTTTGTTAATAGAGTCATAGCTGGAATGGCTTAGGTGGTTTTAGAGCACTTAGTACATTCCCTTCACTATTCATTGAGGTGAATAGTAGTTTTTTGTTTGGTTTTTCTTTTAGTTGAATCATTTATCTCCCCAAATATAATTTTATAACCATATTACATTTTTCATCTCAGGAAATATTTTATTGAAGTGTGGTATGTTTTATAATTTTATTTTGTGATTTTTCTACTCTTATTATAGATTTTGTCATATTGAACACTAGTCTCTTAGAAAGTTACTCTTGTGTTGCCATTTTTTTGTGTGTTTTCTACAAGCACTAGTCCTCATGCAACAGTTTTCCGAAGAAGCAGGAGAATTCATAGATGCAGAGTTATACTACAACCATAGCAAGTTTTGTCTTTTCATAATTTCTATTCGTGTCTTGGCTAAATTTTCATTTGCGTAATTACAGGCTTGTTTTCTTAATGCTTCCTGAAGGTTAATTGGGTAACACGTTTTTCATTTTCTGCATATGACTGCTTTTTTATTTATGAGTGATCTGCACAAACAAATATAGATGTAACTTAGATGTTGGTATAACTAAGTCTGTAAAGTGTTTTGAAGATTATTTGGATAAAAATGGAGTTAAAGGAAATTGGCCAGATGTGGTGGTTCATGCCTGTAATCCCAATACTTTGGGAGGTCGAGGCAGGTGGATCACTTGAGGTCAGGAGTTCAAGACCAGCCTGGGCAACATGGTAAAACCCCATCTCTACTGACAAAAATTAGCTGGGGTTGTGGTGTGTGCGTGTAATCCCAGCTACTCAGGAGGCTAAGGCAGGAGAATCACTTGAACCTGGGAGGCAGATGTTACAATGACCCCAGATCGCAACACTGCACTCCAGCCTGATGACAGACCCTGTCTCAAAAAAAAAAAAGAAAGTAAATCATAATGTCAACCAAAAAACTTACTTCATGAAGAGATGTTGAAAATATCCAGTATGCACTTGAGTTTAGTATTATTGGCATTTTGCATTTTATAATTACACTTTCATTTATTCTGGGTACTTTGTGAACAGAAAGTTTTTTACCATCTCTGTGAGGTGGCTGAAGTGTTCGGAGAAAACAGCTTGACCATTCTGATTAAAGCCACCAATTTATTGTGGTTCTCAATCTTAGTTGAGCTTATTCTGCCTATCAGTTATTTGTCTTTTTTTGCTTGAGTTTATTCTGTTTTTCTCAGCATGTATTCCAGGTTTTGCTGTTTTTAAGCTGTCTTCCCAGCTTATAATACTCATCTTCTGAGAATGTCACCTTGTCTCAGCTTTCTATCTCTACCTTTAAAATGATCCATATTTGCACTCAGGTTGTCTTAAGACTTAGTGGGCAGGGTATTGTTCTTCTTACTTGAGGCTGAGTTGCCTGTGCTCTTGACCCCATTTCCTCTTTTCTCCTGAGGACCTTTCTTTAATCAATTGTTCTTTTTTTCTTTACCAAGTAGTATATAACCACTTTGCAAGGATTAATTCGTTTAATCTTCATAACAATCCTATGAAGAGGTACTACTTTTGTCATAACTAACAACCCTTTTTAAAAAACTCTTTTAATTACCTCTCCCTCTTGAGGATTCCTTCTTCCTCTCCATGCAGACTTCTCCAAAGACTGTCTTATTTGATATCTCCATTTCTGTCTGTTTCTCCACTTCTTGCTCACTCCTTAACCTATTGTAGTCTGTCTTCCGCACCCACTATGTGAACTGGTCTAGTTAATGACGTCAGTAACATTAATTTCTAGATCCAAAAGGATTCTTACAGCCTTAATTTTCTTGACCTACTCTGTGGTATTAGATATTATTGATAATTCCTCTTTGAAACCCTTCCATGACTTCATTTTGTTCCAGTTTTCTTTTTTTTTTTTTTTAAGCCTCTTATAACATTTTTTTTTTTTGGCTTTTTTTTCACCTGTCCACTCCCTGAAATAATTACTTTTGTTCCTGGATTCTGTTTTTGACAGAATCCTTCTCCTCTTCTGTATCTCTCCTCAAGTATCCTCATCTGCTGTCTTGGTTTAAAATATTACTCCTGTATGTTGATGAGTCCTCCATCTCTCTCTGGCTCAGACTTCTCTGCTGAACTCCAGACCCATGTACCCAACTTCACACTGGGCATTTCCACTTGGGTGTAGTCTTTCTGTACTCATATGCCGTATACTGAGCTTGTTCTCTTCTGGTGTCAACTCCTATATTCTCTCCTTTGTTTGGTAGCATCAACATTTGCCCAAGTGCACATTCTGTAGTCTTTCTAGATCTCTTTCTCCTGCCTTCACATACCACTCACCAAGTTCTGTCATTTTTCCTGGCTAAATGTTTCTTAAACTCAATTCTTCTGTTCTATCATCTACCACTGTTTTATTTTAGTCATTAATTGTCTCTTATGTATTCCTGCATTAGGTCTCCCTGCCTCTGGTGTTATTCCTGTCAGTTTCATCTTTCAGTCCAGGGTAATCATAATTAGTTTCTGCCTGATTCTTCAGACATCTCCAACTACTAGGTCTGATGTACATTAATTACATTTAGTCATATTAAGCTGTTTATGCTCTCTCAAACATACCATGTTGTTGTTACTTTTTGGTGTGTTTGGAATATTTGGTTTTCATTTATTTATTTTAAGAAAACCAAAGCTTGGGCCAGGAGTGGTGGCTCACGCCTATAATCTTAACACCTTGGGAGGCTGAGGCGGGTGGATCATCTGAGGTCAGGAGTTCGAGACCAGCCTGGCCAACATGATGAAACCCCATCTCTACTAAAAATACAGAAAAATTAGCCAGGCGTGGTGATATATGCTTATAGTTCCAGCTACTCAGGAGGCTGAGGCCAGAGAATGTCTTGATGAACCCAGGAGGCAGAGGTTGCAGTGACCCGAGATCGTGCCACTGTATTCCAGATGGGTGACAGAGTGAGACTCCATCTCAAAAAAAGAAAAAGCAAAGCTTAAAAGTGTGAGCTTTTCCAAATTCTTACATAAATAACAGATAATTAAATCCATCCCAGTTTCCTATTTTTTTTTAATATCAAGGTTCGGTAGCAACCTACTTTTCTTAGTATGTTACACTTATTCATTTATTCTATGAGAAACTAAAGTAGTTCAGATTCAGTTCCAGTACTTGAGCATGTATGTAATCTGCTAGGAAATTTCTTTTTATATAAACATTGTTAAATGTTAAGGGAAAAAAAATACAGAAACTTAATTAGGAAGAATCTATGTAGTAAAAAGAATATGAAAGATATATTGACGGTATTTCTGTTGACATTTTCTGTGTAATTTATTTTTGTTCTGCATATATGCATATAGTGTATGGGCATAAATATGACTGTTAATCTCTTGTATATATCGGAACATAAGAAAATATATCTAAAGAAATGTTTGTTCAGTGTTAATTGTCTGTTTAAAAACCAGATTATTTGAAATGACAGCATGACTTTATATCTTCAGATTGAGCTACGAGAACAAGAGATAGAACGATTGTCAGTTGCTATGGATGGTGGTCGTTCTCCTGATGTCCTCTCTCTGGAGTCTAGAAATAAGACCAATGAAAAGCTTATTGCTCAGTTAAATATTCAGGTAATGGCTTTTATAATTATTGAATGTATATAATGGTGTTTATAATAAACACTATGTTTGTAATGGTCTATTGGTTTGTAAAAGTGGTGGGAGTTTTTCACTGAGTTATTATTTATAATAGGAAAAATTTGATAGAACTGTGGTATTCAGAAATAGGGTGGAGTTGTTGAAAAATCATGTTTTTAAAGATTATTTAATGAGGCAGTAATTAAGATATACCATAACATTAACAATTTAAAGGAAGAGAATAAACTCTGGGGACGTGATTGTCAATCTGGTTTTAAGAAAATGTATATATGGACTTGGAAAGAGAGAGCAAACAGAATATACCAAAGTATACTAACAAAGCTTATCTTTGTGTGGTGGGATATTCTTCTTTCTGGTTTTCTTTTTTGTTTTTCAAAACTTAATAAGTATGTATTTCTTTGATAACATTAAAAAATTAAACGTGTATAAAAATTAAATACCTAGCTTTTATCTACTTACATAGTAGATTCCTTTGCCATGCATTTGACCTAAGAGCTGGAATGTTCCATACAGCGTGACCCATGAACTTTAGAAATTTTAGTATGGCAGAGCTGCCTGGGTCACAGACAGAATTACGATATCATGGTATTCTTGTCATATAGAACTCTGTATTGGGAAACAGTTCACACAAATTTTTTATCCTTTCTATGCTTGAAAATCAAAGCCAATGGATATATACTTTCATCAAATTTCACATGGTCAGTTTTGCAAATAATATAAGTTTTCAAATATAAAATAGCTGTAGTTTTAATCTTCAATATCTCTTAAAATACAGTTTTTTAAAATATTCTTTGGAAAGTCAGTGTTTAGTATAAATTTCCAATTTATACACCTCTTAAATTACAACTCCAATTTAGGTTGACTTTCTTCAGCAAGCTAATAAAGACCTGGAGAAGCATATACAGGAGCTCACGGAAACTAAGGAAACAGTGACATCTGAAGTTGTTAATTTAAGTAACAAAAATGAAAAACTCTGCCAAGAATTAACTGAAATAGATCAGTTAGCACAGCAGTTGGAAAGACATAAAGAAGAAGTGCTTGAGACTGCTGATAAAGAGCTTGGGGAAGCAAAGGTAATGAATGATATGTGTAGGTTGTGAGAGTGTTCAGTAATTCTCCTAGCACACAGTAAGCTTGAGCCCTTTTGATATCTGCATTCAGGTTTTTGGTTTATTTTGTATGTCTCTTTGTTTTTTTGCTTTGGTAATTTAGGGTTTTCTGAAGCGTTGTTTACACCCCCTAAATGATTTTATTTTTTCTAGTTGTTTGGGTGTGTGTCTGAAGCACACCTGTTCTTAGGATGGATCTCCAAACTGTAGTCTGTTTTCCTTCAAGATTTTAATCTCTGTTCTTTTTTATTTTTGCAGGAAAATTTATATCATTTTAATTATTTTTATATACAGAAAACTCTACAGTGGCAAGTTCTCTAGCCTTTGCTTTTTCGAGGCTTGGCGATGCGAGCCACAGACTTGGGACCCAGGACATTGCCTCCCCAGTGACGGCGGATCTCATCATATCTGTCACTGTACTTTGTCCTGATAGCTTCCACCAGCTTAGCCAAAGCGCCTTTGTCTTCCGAGTTAACCTGGGTGAAGGCAACGGTGGTGCAGGTCTTCCTGTGGACTAGACGTCCCAGTCTTGCCTTCCCCTTGATAATACAGTAAGGGACTCCCATTTTCCGACACAGGGCAGGCAGGAAGACATCCAGCTCAATGAGATCCATGTCGTGTGCAATCACCACCAGCTGAGCTTTCTTGTTCTCCACCAAGGCAGTGACGATGTTAACTCCTGCTCGAAGGACAGGTGGTCTCTTAGTGGGGACGTCCCCTTTGCCAGCAGCTCTCTTCTCAGCCTGGGCCAACAGCCTCTTCTTCTTCTCTTGCTGTGTCTCTGGCTTATACTTCTGGGCCAGCTTTAGCAGCTCAAAAGGCGGTCCAGGGCCTGGGTGAACTGGTTAATGGCAAGAGGCATTTTCAGCCGCTTATAAAGGATGGATCTCTGCCGCTGCAACCTGATACAGTGGGGCCATTTCACAAAGTGGGTGAGGAGGTCTCTTTTCAGTTGAATGTCCTGTCCAATGCCAAAATTCTTTGGTCTTTTCTCAAACACGGGATTGGCCACTTTCTTGGTCTCCTGCTTCCTCACGACAGCAGGGGCTGGAGCTGCCTTCTTCTCCTTGGCCTTCTTTCCTTTCGGCATCTTGGGCGGCGGGAAGGGAGCTAATCTCTGTTCTTTTATCTCTACATTGTAAGAGAGCTTCTAAAGTTTCCCCTCTATGTCATTTTTGCTCAAGAATCTTTTTTTTTTTTTTTTGAGACAGAGTCTCTGTAACTCAGACTGGAGTAGAGTGCAGTGACGCAATCTAGGCTCACTGCAACCTCTGTCTCCTGGGTTCAAGCATTTCTCCTGCCTCAGCCTCCTAGTGGCTAGAATTACAGGTGCCTGCAACCATGCCCAGCTAATTTTTGTATTTTTAGTAGAGGCTAAAATCTACCTTGTGGGCCAGCCTGATCTCGAACTCCTGATCTCAGGTGATCCACTCACCTCAGCCTCCCAAAATGCTGGGATTACAGGCGTGAGTGACGATGCCCAGCCTGTCTTTTTTTGAGACGTGGTCTTGCTCTGTTGCCTAGGCTGGAGTGTGGTGCCACAGTCATAGCTCACTGCAGCCTCAACCTCCCCAGGCTTAAGCAATCCTTCCATCTCAGCCTCCTGAGTAGCTGGGACTACAGGTGCATGCCACAAAGCCCAGCTAATTTTTTAACTTTTTGCAGAGATGGGATCTCACTACATTTTCCAGGTTGATCTCAAATTCCTGGGTTAAGCAGTCCTCCCACCTCAGCCTCAGCCTCCCTAAGTGCTGAGATTACAGGCACAAGCCACTATGCCTGGCCACCAAGAATTCTTTAAAAGTATTTTTAAAACTATATATGTCCTTGCACATTTTTTTTTTTTTGAGACAGAGTTTCGCTCTTGTTACCCAGGCTGGAGTGCAATGGCGCGATCTCGGCTCACTGCAACCTCCGCCTCCTGGGTTCAGGCAATTCTCCTGCCTCAGCCTTCTGAGTAGCTGGGATTACAGGCACGCGCCACCATGCCCAGCTAATTTTTTGTATTTTTAGTAGAGACAGGGTTTCACCATGTTGACCAGGATGGTCTCGATCTCTTGACCTCGTGATCCACCCACCTCGGCCTCCTAAAGTGCTGGGATTACAGGCTTGAGCCACCGCGCCCGGCCGTCCTTGCACATTTTTAAGTTGGTAATTATAATAACATTTTTCATCTTTTAAGTTTAAATGCAAAGGGTGATATTTCCATTCTATTTTAAATATAATATCTTAAAATATAACTAATTGTTCTTTTAATTATAGCTGGTAAAGTCTAAATGATACTTTGTCCTTAAAATTTCCACAAAGTTTTATCCTATTTTAACTAGTTTTATACCTGAAAATCTTTTCATGATCACACTATCATATATCTGTTCAATAAAAAGAACAAATTTTGGAGAACGATCCAAGATGGCCGATCGCTAACATCCCGGGATTGCAGCTCTCAGGGAAGGCGCGGAGAACTAGAGGACGCCACACTTTCAGACAAAGTCTCATCGCTCACGGAGCAGAAGATCCCCCAGTGGTGGAAACACAGGAGTCGCCAGCGCGACTCTCGTGGTCGTCACAGCGATTCCGCTGGCACCTCGGCGTGGCAGCGCTCGGCGCAGAGTAAACGAGACCAGTTCCCCTTCTGACCGAGGTTTGGAGCCCCGGGAAGGCAGAGTCGCCTACTACGGAAACAAGAAGGAAGCCCGACAGGATAATCCTGGGCAGAAAAGCACCATCAGTTTTAACGCTGCTGCTCTGGCCCTGGGAACTAACAACCTGGACGTTCACTCAAGAGACCTAATCTGGAAGTTGGTAACTTCAAAGACGACAGGAGGATAAATTTACAATGACAGGAAGAAACCAGCGTAAAAAAGCTGAGAATACTCAAAGTCAGAACGCCTCTCCCTCTAAAGATGATCACAGTTCCACATCAACAATGGAACAAGGCTTGATGGAGAACGAGCGCCTCCTGATGACAGAATCACTCTTCAAGGAATGGATAATAACAAACTTCGGTGAGTTAAAAGAACATGTTGTAGCCCAACGTAAAGAAACTAGGAACTTTGAAAAAAGGTTTGATGAAATCCTATTGAGAATAGACAACTTAGAGAGGAGTATGAGTGAAATAATGGAACTGAAGAATACAATACAGGAACTCCGAGAAGTATGCACAGGTTTAAACACTCGAATTGTTCAAGCAGAAGAAGGGATATCAGAGGTCAAAGTCCAACTTAATGAAATAAAACGTGAAGAAAAGATTAGAGAAAAAAGGATAAAAAGGAATGAGCAAAGTCTCCAAGAAATGTGGGACTATGTGAAAAGACCAAATTTACGTTTGATAGGTGTACCTGAATGCGACGGAGAGAATGAATCCAAGCTGGAAAATACCCTTCAGGATATTATTCAGGAAAATTTTCCTAAACTAGCAAAGCAGGTCAACATTCAACCCCAGGTAATACAGAGAACACCACAAAGATATTCCTCAAGGAGAGCAACCCCAAGGCACATAATCGTTAGATTTACCAGGGTTGAAACGAAGGAGAGGATACTAAGGGCAGCCAGAGAGAAAGGTCGAATAACCCACAAAGGCAAGCCTATCAGACTTACAGCAGATCTCTCTGCAGAAACTCTACAGGCCAGAAGAGAGTGGGGGCCAATATTCAACATCCTCAAAGAACAGAACCTTCAGCCCAGAATTTCATATCCAGCCAAACTAAGCTTCACAACTGAAGGAAAAATAAAATCTTCTATGAACAAGCAAGAACTCAGAGATTTTATTACCACCAGGCCTGCTTTACAAGAGCTTCTGAAAGAAGCATTACACACAGAAAGAAACAACCAGTATTAGCCTTTCTAAAAATACACCAAAAAGTAAAGAGCACCAACATAAAGAAGAATTTACACCAACAAATGGATAAAACAGCCAGTCAACATCAAATGGCAGTAACCCTAAATTTAAATTGACTAAATTCCCAATCAAAAGACACAGTCAAAACCCAACGGCATGTTACATCCAGACCTGTTTCACATGCAAGGATACACAAAGACTCAAAACAAAGGGATGGAGAAAGATTTACCAACCAAATGGAGAGCAAAAATAAATAATAAATAAATAAAAAGCAGGAGTTGCAATTCTTGTATCGGATAAAATAGATTTTAAAGCAACAAAGATATAGTGGTAAAAGGATCAATGCAACAACAAGAGCTAACGATCCTAACACCCAGATAGGAGACTTAGATTCAATGAGACAGAAAATTAATAAGGATATCAAGGACTCGAACTCAGATCCGGAACAAGTAAACTTAATAAATATTTATAGAGCTCTCCAATTCAAATACACAAAATATACATTCTTGTCGATACCACATCACACCTACCCATTAGTTTAAATGAAACAGTGATTGGCCATTATCAATACCCAATTTTTTTCAAAATAAAGCAATATTTCCATTTACTCTCCCTCTTTCTCTTCCTCTCCTTTACTTATTATTATTTTTTTCTTTCCTTCTCTCAAAAAAAAAGAAATCAACTTGTAAACCTCTAAATCCAGGTTGGCAATGTCTCTTTCATTGCTTGATTTCCTTTCTTCCCTTCCCTCACTCCCTCCCTCCCTCCCTCCCTCCCCGCTTCCTCCCTTCCTTCATTCCTTCATCCCTTCCTTCCTGCCTTCCTCCCCCCCCCAAAAAAAAAAAAAGAACAAATTTTAAAAGAATGAATTTTTTTTGTTTAAAAAATACTCTGTCAGCCTATCTGATGGGAAGAAAATAAATTTTTAATTTTTAAAAGTTTCCCATAACTGTAAGATTCAAGATGTTAACGTTTTTATCTGAATAGTATTATCATTACAATTATTAGTTATCAGAGTGTTAAAATGACAAATATACCACAAATGTTGATATTTATGAAATAAAAAAGTAAAATTTTATTGGGAATACATGTATCTCAGAGTGTTAAAGTGACAAATATACCACAAATGTTGATATTTATTAAATAAAAAAGTAAAATTTTATTGGGAATACATCTATCTCTTAATGAAATATAGTGGGAGAAAATAGTGTCTTATTTAAAGCTGTTGGCCAGCCCCAACATTCAGATTATCTTTTGATCTGGTACTCCAAAAGTTTTTTTTATCTTGAGACAGTGCACTTTTGGGGCATGAATGAGGTACGTGCCCTTCTTTGAACATTGAGAGGAAGGCAGCTATAAAAGAGAGGGTAGGAATGCAGAACTCACATTTTACTTGGGCCACAGACAAGTTCTTACGTAGATCATTTTTAAGAAGCACTGAATATGCAAATTAAGGAGTCTGATGCTGATTCCTTAAAACTATGTGCATATCATAGCTTTATATAATACTTGGAAAATGTTCATTTTTATCCCAGGAGTAAGTATAATCCAGTTTGAAAACCAGTGCTTTACATCACCAAATTGATTTTATACAGTGCCATTTCTACTAATTAAGTGGACTAGAAGCAAATTACCCCAATATTTAAAAAACCATATATGAAAGGCCCACAGCAAACAATCATACTCAGTGGTGAAAAACTGGAAGCTTTTCCTCTAAGATGAAGAACAAGAAAGGATTCCCATTCTTGTCACTACTGTTCAGCCTAGTACTAGAAGTCCTAGCCAGAGCAGTTAGGCAAGAAAAGGCATACAAATTGCAAAGAAGGAATAAAATTATCTCTGTTTACAGATGACATAATTTTATATATAGAAAGCCTTCGACATTCCACAAAAACCAGAACTAATAAACCAATTCCGCAAAAATGCAGGATACAAAATCAACACACAAAAATCAGATGTTTTTCTATATACTAAGAATAAACTATCCAAAAAGGAAATTAAGAAAGTAATCCCATTTGCAGTAGTATCAAAAAGAATAAAATACTTGGAAATAAACGTAACCATTGAGATGAAAAACCTGTATACTTGAAAAACTATACAGCGTTGCTAAAGAAGTTAAAGAAGACACAAATAAATGGGAAGACATTCTGTGTCGATGGATTGGAAGACTCAATATTGTTAAAGTGTCCATACCGCTCATTTAGGGCAATACCTATCAAAATCCCAGTGGCGTTTTTTTTTTTGCAAAAATAGAAAAAACTTCTAAAATGCATATGGATTCTCAAAGGACCGCAGACCACCAACACAATCTTGAAAAAGGACATGATTAGTGCAGTTTAAATTGTTTTTGTGGTTTTAGTTTCATTGCAAACTCCTGTATCTCATTTCCCTCTTTTTCCACCACCTTTTGCATCTTCTATGCTGTACGCACAGCGTACTAAATACAGCGTCCCATGTCCCATTGCAAATGCTGAGAAATAACAAGTTGTCTCAACGAAATATTCCTATTGGGTTATAATATTTTGATCCTGGCATTCTGCTCTCTCAGTGACAGTATAGATGGGATCCAGGTTGGTAAAAGCAGGTGTGGAGAAAGCAAATAGGATAGGAAATTCAGGAAAAGATAGTGCCATTAGATTACCTCAAAATCTGAGGCCCAAGGAAGATCCTGCAAGATGTTCAAGTGGCCTTCAGATGTTACAGGCAGGCCCCTGTAAACATTCAAGATACCAAAGATTAAAGAGACGCCGCAATTTTGCCTCTTGATTGAAACTGATTGTTAGGAATAAAGCCTCAGATCTCACTGGTAAGAGGGAATGTGAAATACTTGCAAAATGACTTGATCTTATTTGCGTTGTGACTTAGTGATAAGTATTCTCAAACTTTTAAGTATATACCTAATAGGCTTTCTATTCCTAGAAAGAGATTAAAAGAAAGCTCTCTGAAATGCGGGATCTTGAAGAAACAATGGCAAAACTTCAACTGGTAAGTTTATGTCATATTGGATTGCCAGCATTGTCATTAAGAAACTTTTTATGCCTTATTTTATTGCTCAGCTCTTGATAACAACTAATCTACTTTCTATTTCTGTTGTTCTGGCCATTTCATATAAAGGGAGTCATATATTTTTGTGTCTGGATTCTTTTTTTTTTTTGAGATGGAGTTTCGCTCTTGTTACCCAGGCTGGAGTGCAATGGCGCGATCTCGGATCACCACAAGCTCCACCTCCTGGGTTCAGGCAATTCTCCTGCCTCAACCTCCTGAGTAGCTGGGATTACAGGGACATGCCACCATGCCCAGCTAATTTTTTGTATTTTTAGTAGAGACGGGGTTTCACCATGTTTACCAGGATGGTCTCGATCTCTTGACCTCGTGATCCACCCGCTTCAGCCTTCCAAAGTGCTGGGATTACAGGCGTGAGCCACCGCGCCCGGCCTGTCTGGATTCTTTTACTAAGCATGTTTACAAGGTTCTTGCATGTGGTAGCATGTATGAGCACTTCATTCCTTCTTATGGCTGAGTAATATTCTACTGCATGGATATGCAAGTTTATATTTTTATAGTTCTTTAATGTTATGGATAGTAGTTGCTAGAAATTTTACGTTCTTGTAACTACTTTATGACTTTACTAGTATTAACACCAAAAATTAATTACTTGAAATATTTGTTGATTATTACAAAAGGCACTCCATCCTCATTTATTTATTTATTTATTAGAGACAGGGTCTTGCCTTCACCTAGGCTAGAGTGCAGTGGCATGATCATAGCTCACTGCAGCCTTGACCCTACTGTGCTCAAGTGATCCTCCCACCTCAGCCTTCTGCATGGTTAAGACTACAGGCATGCACCACTGTGCCTAGCATTTTTTTTTTTTTTTTAGTAGAAATGAGGTCTTACTCTATTGCCCAGGCTGGTATTAAACTCCTGGGCTCAAGTGATTCTCCTGCCTCAGCCTCCTAAAGTGCTAGGAGTGCAGGCATGAGCCGTTGTGCTCAGCCCAGTCTTCTTTTAATAGCTTTTTTTTTGAGATGGAGTTTCGCTCTTGTTACCCAGGCTGGAGTGCAATGGCGCAATCTCGGCTCACCGCAACCTCCGCCTCCTGGGATCAGGCAATTTTTCTGCCTCAGCCTCCCGAGTAGCTGGGATTACAGGCACACGCCACCATGCCCAGCTAAGTTTTTGTATTTTTAGTAGAGACAGGGTTTCACCATGTTGACCAGGATGGTCTCGATCTCTTGACCTCGTGCTCCACCCGCCTCGGCCTCCCAAAGTGCTGGGACTACAGGCGTGAGCCATTAATAGCTTTTTTGGTAATACAAACCATTTTCCTAATCACATTTCTTGTTCTGGTAGTCTTCAAATGACTAAGGAAGCGATCATCCCAACAGAAGCCTAAATATAGCATACAGAAAAAGCATATAGTCCTAAAGTCTGGAGCTAGCAGAAAGAGTGTCTTGCTTATAGGTAGAAACCAAGTAGTCACCCAAATGATTGAGGATTCCTAAAAATAGCCTGTTGAATTGGAAGAGTTTCCTCTAAGATTGGAAAGAAAGGTAAATACTAATTTCCAAGTTCTTTCTTTATGTATACTTTTTACACAGTCTAGCTGGAGTGTTCTGGTGGCATACGTCAATTTAAAAGGAAGCATGAGAGGAAGGGATTTTTGCTGTTTGTTCACTGCTAGTTGTATGTGCACTAAATGTTGGATGTTATTCGTAACACTTGTCTCAGAACTGTGACCAAGTTTCACTAGTGTTGGCTGACAGTAGGATGTTGCCATGTTGCCATACTTTCTTACCTTTCTTATTTTTTCCAGTAATGCAAGATTCTATGTATTTTTAAGATAAGAATGATGATATTGATAGCTAACATTTATTAAGTACTTACCATAGGGACATGCTGGTTACCATGGAAAATACTTCATAACCATAGATTCATCCTGGCCAGTGAATCCTTAGCGTCCTGGTCTTATCTTTGTTGTGCAGATGAGGGTGAGAGAATAACCAGTAGAGTTACAGATACACTGTATGTGATGGTCTTAGAAGACTTTGTCTTACTATTGCTCTCTTTTTTTTTTTTTTTTTTTTTTTGAGACAGAGTTTCGCTCTTGTTACCCAGGTTGGAGTGCAATGGCGCAATCTCGGCTCACCTCAACCTCTGCCTCCTGGGTTCAGGCAATTCTCCTGCCTCAGCCTCCCGAGTAGCTGGGATTACAGGCATGCGCCACCATGCCCAGCTAATTTTTTGTATTTGTAATAGAGACGGGGTTTCACCATGTTGACCAGGATGGTCTCGATCTCTTAACCTCGTGATCCACCCGCCTCGGCCTCCCAAAGTGCTGGGATTACAGGCTTGAGCCACCGACTATTGCTCTCTTAACCATGAAAAAGCTTTAATTTTTTACATAATATAAGTACATGTTCATTTAGAAAAAAATAGGACAACATGCCAAACTAGAAGAAAATAAAATCTAATAATTCTCCCACCCACAAAGAAACATTGTTGATACTTGTGTTTTATGGTACTTTCAGCTACAAATGATAATTAAGTTTAATTGAATCACATATTTGACTAATTGTTTGCACACACATTTAAGTTGCTGTTATATAAATGTGCTTAAAAAAATCTATTTTACTTTTAAGTATGATAGTATTTTATAAAGATGTTAGAAATCTTATAGTATTACAATTTGCAGGAATTGAACTTATGCCATAAAGAAAAGGAGAGACTAAGTGATGAACTCCTTGTAAAATCAGATCTAGAAACTGTTGTTCATCAGCTTGAACAAGAAAAGCAAAGACTTAGCAAAAAAGTCGAAAATTTTGCAGTTACAGGTAAGATGTCAAATTTCGATGACTTAAAAAATGTTTGTGATTTCCTCTTGATATATTGTTTTTCTTAGTAGATAATCTTTCATTCATTCAGTCATTCATTCAATAAATATTTGTTGAGTGTTTGCCATTAGCCAGAAACCATAGTAGGTACTGTAGATACAATAGAAATCTTTCCCTCAAGGACCTTAGAATTTTTATGTTTTGACTCGTTTATACAGGGAACCCTGCTTGAATATTTTCCAATAGAAATGTGTACTTCTTTGAGACAGACTAATAATAGAATTAAATAAGACTAAAAGGAAGGCTATTTTGATAGTGGAAAATTGAAGTACAGAATCTTTTCAAGGAAATGTAATTGTATTATCTTAAAATACGCACACACACACACACACACACACACAATTGAGATAGGCTAACTTTCTGCAGGTACCAGCCCTGAATGACTTGGCATAAGAAACATAAGAATTCATTCATTCATCAATTTGACCAGTGTTTATTAATCACCTGCTTTGTAGGTGTGTGCCAGGCCCTGTTTTGACTGCTGGGGTATATAGTGGCAAACAAAATACATAAGGGCCCTGCTCTTGCAGAGCCTTTTTTTCTTGTTAGGGAGACAGACTAGTGGCACATAAGTGAAGAAGCTAATTTTAGTTGATAAGAGGTATTAAATTAGAATGGGAGGATGTACTAGAGATTGAATGAAGTGCTCAATGAAGATGGGGGTCTAATTTTCTATGCAGAGGAAATGGCAGGTGCAGAAGCTTGGTGCCATCAAACGATGTGTCTTAGGAAGTGAAAGAAAGCCAATGTACTGTATTAAGAAGAGACTCTATCCTAGGCCCATGTGGATAATCTATTTGACCTCCTCTCTGCATACTAGCTGTATAACTTGAGCATGTTACTGAAGCTCTCCGTGCCTCGGTTTCCCTATCTATGGGGCTAATGATGACACCTACCCTGAAAGGTTGTTTTGATCATTAAATGAGTTGATATGTTAAAGTGCTTAGAACCATGTATAAAAGTCTAAAATATACTTCTTTAGATAGCTATGCGTGGCCTAGCATAGATCATTTGAGCGTAATCTTTCAGCTGTCTCAGACTCTCATTTCCCTGTGTTTTGGGTGCATCCCTCTGCCAGATACTCAGCCATGGATGAGCCAAACAATTTGCCTTCTACACTTTTACACATGGGCAGCTGTTTGAGTGTGCACCAGGCACATTGAGAGCACTGTAAATTAGATAGTCCTGAACCTCAGCAGGACACTCAGTGCCATATCTTACATTATTTCTCTTAGCATTTGATCTTCCATTCTCCATTGGGAATATTTTGAAATATTTTGCAATGTCAGTAAAGTTGTGAGTCCCATTACTCCCCCTCATTCTGAGTAGATGATCCTACCCCCAGTTTTCCTAAAAGAAGGGAAGCCATTGCAGGCATTCACTCAGTCCTCTGGCCTCAGATTAAAAACCTGTGCATCTTCTTCCTTCCTGTTCAGTCAGGAGTGTCCCTCTTAGGAAAGACCTGTGGCTCCATCTATTCTCTGGGTCATAACTTCTCTGATTTTAAAAACCTTACAAATTAATGATCTCCTCTCCATAATTGTAATTTTTGTACTATTTTTTCCCATTGGCATTCAGACATGCTTACTCTTCACCAATTTCTTTTTTGTTTTTTTAATTTTTTTTCTTTTTTTCTTTCATCCTATTGAGGAAAGTTCTTCACCAATTTCAATACAAAAACTTTGACCCATTCCTATCCAGCCACTCTTCTCGTCTCTTCATAGCTTTAGCATCTTGAAAGGTCATCTATACTTGCTGTTCTGCTTGATCACCGGCTACCCCACAGCTCCTCAGTCCACTCCAGTTGGCTTCTGTTCCCACCTCTTCAACACAGTTACTCTTGTTAAAGTCATCATTCGCCTCCGTTTTGCTAAATGCAGTGGATATTTTTCATTCATTTGCTTATTTGATTGCATTTAACCCAGTTGGCCATTCTTTCCCACTCTCCTACTTTCTTTTTACCTCTCTGGTCATTCCTTCTTGGGACAAATTTGCCAATTCATCCTCGAGTTTGCACTGCACACTATCCTTTTGTAGGTTTTATCCTACTACAGTTAGAATAGTTGTTCAGCCTTGGCTATGTTTTTCATACTTGTATCCTTAGCTAGTGCTGGGCATATAGTAAATGCTTAATACTTATCTGTTGAATGAATGAAAGAAGAAATAGGAGTAAATCAGAATACATCAGGAAAGTCCTTCCATGCCTCAGAGTTGCAATGAACATAAATTAAATTAGGTTCAACTATGTGAAATTGCCAGTATTTGGTTACTTTTGACTCATGAAGAGGCAATTTCTGTGGTAAAAGCTAATAATAATATTTATTTGAGTTATTTTACTCTCTTTGTATATGTGTATGCTGTTTTAAATTCAAGCTTAATGTTAAGTTTATGCATATTATGATTGTTTATAGATATATTTTCTTTTAGTGCATTTTCAAATCCTGGGAAAGTACCATGTGGTAATTTACTGCTTCATTTTGTAGTACTGAGTAGTACCCACCTTATAATAAGACAAAAACAGGGGGACTTGGACCTATTGGACCTTATTTAAACTTTTAATTTTTGTTTGTTTTTTCTTTTTTCTTCTGAATATTTACCTCTTTAATAAATTTAGTACTTACAGGTGATATGTAGAACAGTTCATGATTTCTAGTAGCTCTCATTCTAAAAGTTATTCATATAATTTACTTGACTAATCAACATTACATATGCAACACTGTTTTAAGAGTTAATCACTTTAATTTGCAGAAAGAGAACTTACTTTGGAAGTTGAGAGGATGAGACTAGAACATGGAATAAAACGTCGAGACAGGTCACCTTCTCGTTTAGATACATTTCTGAAAGGTATAGAAGAAGAACGAGATTATTATAAGAAAGAGCTAGAGAGACTCCAACATATAATACAGCGAAGATCTTGCTCTGCAAATTATAGCGCACGTGAAAAAAGTTCAATATTTAGAACATCAGAAAAGGTAACGTCTCTTTATAAGAGTAAGTGATAAAGCCAGAAAGCATCTTTATGAATAAACTTTGCTGATTTATTATTATATTAAATGTAACTTTATTCATTCTTGCTTTGAAAAAGTTCTGATTTTGATTTTTTGTTTTCTTCCATGGCCTGTATTGTAGGAACGCAGCATTAATTAGGTAAATTACTAAAGAACAAACTATAACATACTGATTACTGGAAATTAAGGAAAGGCTGAATGGTAGAAGAAGTGTAGTGGAACCTGGGCTTCCAGGACTCATTGTTGGATATTCTCTCTCTTTTTAGAGTTTACTTTCTTGTTTATTTTTCTGAGACAGTGTTTCACTCTTTATTGCCCAGGCTAGAGTGTAATGATGTGATCTGGGTTCACTGCAACCTCCACCGCCCAGGTTCAAGTGATTCTCCTGCCTCAGCCTCCCGAGTAGCCGGGATTATGAGCGCGTGCCACCACGCCCAGCTAATTTTTGTATTTGTAATAGAGATAGAGTTTCGCCATGTTGACCAGGCTGGTCTCAAACTCCTGACCTTGTGATCTGCCTACCTCGAGCTCCCAAAGTGCTGGGATTACAGATGTAAGCCACTGTGCCCAGGCATAGTTTACTTTCTATATCAGCTGCATTTTCTCTCTCATAGCAGAGTGGTTTTATATGCATCGCAGGCAACATAGTTTCATATCATTTCCAGCCTTGGACCAGTTAGGAAGGTGTGTTACATTCTGCTGGCCAAGCATCTTCTCTATTAACCGTGCTAGGGGAGATAGATAGAAATGGCAAGTGGGTGCTGCGTAGATTGTTTTGTTTGTCCTCTGCAACTATATTTGGAAATTGATTATCCAAAAATGTTCACTTTATGTCATTTTCTAGTTGCATCTCCTATTGTGTGTATTAAAGTTGACCATGATGCATGAGAGAATAAAATTTTAGGTCTTAATTATTTTTAGTGTTTTGTGAGTATCATTTGAGTTCTTCAGATATTCCTTCTTTTAAGCTTTGGAGTTCAGGAGTCTTGAAAGGCTTATGTGACTTTACTTTATCTACATACTATGTAAAATTAGGGGAAATCTGGGAGTGGGGAGTAGCCCATTAAAACTCAAAACATTTGGTTTCAGCCTTGGCTGAATTTGCCAGTTCTGTCATATTATCCGTGAAGATCTTGTGTTCATTGTCAAACAGTTTTGTCTTCTGATTAGACTTCATTTTTTAACCTCATAAGCTAGTGGCTGAAGTTTGATTTATAGTTGTCAGTATAAACTCTATGCTATGTTATCTATTATAAGAATGAAGCCAGGTGTGGTAGCTCACACTTGTAATTCCAGCACTTTGGGAGGCCAAGGCAGGAGGATCACTTGAGGCCAGGAGTTCAAGACCAGTCTGGTCAACTCAACGAGACTCCTTCTTTACAAAAGAAAAAGTAAAAAATTAGCTGAGCATACTGTCAGGCACCTCTAGTACCACTTACTGGGAAGGCTGAGGGAAGGAGATTGCTTGAGTCCAGGAGTTCAAGGGTGCAGTGATTTATGATCTCGCCACTGCATTCCAGCCTGGGCGACAAAAAAAAAAAAAATTGGTGGAAAAATGCAGTACAAGTTATTAGTAATTTATATGTTGCTGAATTTATTTTAAGTTCTGTATGTATTTAGGACTCAGGAAAAGTAAGTGACTGAATTGATCATTTTTGTTTTATAGAGGAATCTCCCACAAAATGATCAGTTTAATCATGTATGAAATACTAAGGAGATAAATATCTCAGAGTTTTTAACCAAAATATTTGATTCATTTGCTCTGTGTTGGATTCACATTTGAAAGACAAGTGTGTGAGAGATATTGGTAAGGCACTAGTAAAATTAGGTGAAATTTTTCTCCCCCTCAACTTATTTACATGGTCAAAGTTATAATGGTACCTGGTGTAGACAAAAAAATTATTTTCTAGAGTTCAGGAAAGCAGGGTGTTCAGAGCATTTTAGAGTCCCAATAATAAATTACAGGCATGATAGAGGATAGTGGGTAAATATATGAATGAAATAGGTGGGATGTGAGACAGTTGCAAGTACTGGGAACTAGGAAGTGCATTTCCTACCTAAAATTAGGTATTTTATTTTACTTTATTTATTTATTGAGTCTGTCACCCAGGCTGGAGTGCAGTGGCATGATATTGGCACACTGTAACCTCTGCCTCCTGGGCTCAAGCCATTTTTCCACCTTATCCTACTGAGTAGCTGGGACTATAGGCACATGCTACCATGCCTGGCTAATTTCTTTTTTTTTTTTTTTTTTTGAAACAGGGTTTTGCCATATGGCCCAAGCTGGTCTCAAACACCTGATCTCAAGTGATCTGCCTGCCTTGGCCTCCCAAAGTGCTGGGATTACTAATGTGAGCCATGGTGCCCACCATAAAATTAGCTGTTTTAAACATGTTCAGGAACATTTGGTTGGCAAACGACAAAGACTGTTCTACAGCTGGATTTGGTACTAGCTGGGTTTTCAACACCTGCTTTATGGCAAACTATTAGGCACAGTTGGTTAGGATTGTAGTAAGTCAGAAAAACTCAGGATTGTAATAACGCTTTTTTTTTAAATTTTTTTTTTTTTTTTTTTAAAGACGGGGTTTCACCATGTTAGCCAGGTTGGTCTTGAACTCCTGACCTCAAGTGATCTCCCTGCCTCGCCTTCCCAAATTGCTAGGATTACTGGCCTGAGCCACTGCGCCTGGAGACACTTTTTAATATCAATTCTCTATTGCCTGTGTAGGGTGGGTACTGTCCCCCTCACCTTGTATTCACCCTGGTTCCCACTATGAGTTTTGAGTATGGTGTAGGCAGAAGTGCTTTGCAGTTGGAGCCTAACAAAAGTTGAAGTTCCACAAACTGGCTTTATGACATTGGAGAAGTTACCTAACTTCATGGAACCCTGTTTCCCTCATTTGCAGAATGGGGAAAGTGACTACAACTTCTTGTAAAGACAAAATGAGATAATTTGTTGGTTTTATTTTTAATTGACAAATAATATGTTTATTTATAGAGTACAGTTGGATGTTTTGATCTATGTATACATTATAGAAAGATTCAGTCTAGCCAATTAACATGTCTATTTCCTCACCAACTTACTGTTTTTTTGTGGTGCAAATGTTAAAAATCTTTTAGCAATTTTGAAGTATACAATACATTATTATTAACTGGTTACCATGCAACACAATAGGTTATTAAAACATTCCAGCCAGGCGCAGTGGCTAACTCCTGCCACCCACTAATGCCAGCACTTTGGGAGGCCAAGGCAGGTGGATCACGAGGTCAGGAGTTCGAGACCAGCCTGACCAACATGGTGAAACCCTGTCTCTACTAAAAATACAGAAAAATTAGTTGGACATAGTGGTGCATGCCTGTAATTCCAGCTACTCAGGAGGCTCAGGCAGGAGAGTCATTTGAACTCAGGAGGTGGAGGTAGCAGTGAGCTGAGATCGCACTCAAGCCTGGGTGACAGAATGAGACTCTGTCTCAAAGAAAAGAAAAATTCTTCCAGTCTAACTGAAATTTTATGCCCTTTGATCAATGAGATAATTTGTATAAGTATCCAGTGTAACACCTAGTTACCAGTGAATGATTTATTTCCTTATTTGCTGGTTCAAAGCAAATCAGTTCTGGTAGAAAATTAGAGTCAGTCCAGAGATAAATACCGAATGCCTGCTCTGAACGAGGCATAGAATACAGAGAATACAGAGATGAAGAAGACAGTTCCTGTCCTTGCAGCCTTCAGCACACACATGTGTGTGCATGTGCTTGTGTGTGTGTAGGGGACAATGAATGGAGTAGTAAAGGGTGTTATTCACAATTATTATACATTAACAATAACAGAAATATGTACACCAGATATACTTAAAGAAGAGTTAGTTTCTGCTTAGGAAAGTCAGTCAATAAATGTTCACAGAACTCCTGTTTTACTGGGTACCATACTGGACACTGAAGAGGTGATGAAAAAGACCAGGTTCTTTCTGTGACCCTCATAGAGCTTAAATTTTAGTAGTACAGACACACATTAAACACACGATCATGTAAACAACTTTATAACCTCATTTATAATGTGTTTTTGAAGAAAGTGCCGAAGAGATTCAAAAATACTATAAGAGTATATAGAAGGAGATCTATATTAGATTGAAAAATCTGGAAGAATTCCTTCGAGAAAGTGACATTTAAGCTGAGACCTAAACAGTAATAAAAAAAATAGACTGTCAAATCTTTATTTATTGAGCTTTCTTTTTCTAGAATCTGTACAGACTCCTTTTTGGAAGATTATTTTGTTTTGCTTTGAGAGAAAGTCTCGCTCTGTTCCTTAGGCTAGAGTGCAGTAGTGTGATCATAGCTCACCATAACCTTGAACTCCTGGGCTCAAGTGATCCTCTTACCTCAGTCTCCCAAGTAGCTAGAACTACAGATGTGCGCCAATATGCCTGGCTAATTGTTTAATTTTTTGCAGAGGCAGGGTCTCGCTCTTTTGCCTGGGCTGGTCTTGAACTCAAGAACTGGCCTCAAGCAGTCCTCCTGCCTTGGCCTCCCAGAGTGCTAGGATCACAAACATGAATCACCACACCTGGCCAAGACTTTTTAAATGTAGATATGGTTATGTTACACAGTTTCTTTCACGGTTACCTTGGTTAAGTCTCAAAATCCTAATCTGCTTTTGTACTATAAAACATCTTGTCCTTTAAAGTGTTTAGATAACTAATCCTATCCATCATGCCATTGTTCTGCTTGTTTAACTAAGAGATTACTTATTTCCAAATGCAGGTGAGAGGTACGTCACAGATATCTATTATTTACCAAATCTACGTTGTATGTGATACTGGCACAACAGATACTGAATAATAAAGGCCAGGACTCTTTTCAGTGTGTCATATTATTAAATTAGCCCTGCTTGGCACTTCTACATTTAGTACTTATAACATTAAGATACCATAGATCCCAAGCCTGCATTTATTATCTTTTTTTTTTAAATAGGAAAAAGACATACACATTTATTTACACGTGCGTGGAGAGAATCAGAATGCCCTCATCTTTATTTTCTACCACAGTGATGAAGACAGTGAATCTTTTGAATTGTACTAAATTGGGGGCATCTTTTGAATGGTACTAAATTGTAGAAATGTTGGAAGTAGTTGCTTATTCAGTGAATATTCTTAATATATACTGCCTGGTAGAAATATTTACATTCATTTGACTGTATAAATAGGCCTCCTGTAGGTCTGAAGCTGAGACAGTTGGGAGATGGTATGCCTGGGGTATTAATTTCGATTCAGTCATAGAAAACACTGAAGAATGTACTAGGCTGTTAGAGTTACCTGTACTGGGTGAGCAGACACACAGATAACTTCCTGGCCCCTTCTCTGTAGAAGATAAACTAACTAGTGGCTCTAAAAAATTACCAGGCATCAGAATTGCTTTGAAGGCTTGGTAAAATACAGTTACTTGGCTCTGCTCTGAAGCTTCTGACTGAGTAGGTCTGGGTTTGGCTCCAAGCTCCAAAATTTGCATGTCTAACAAGTTTTTAGATACTGCTGCTGCTTCTGGTCTGGGGATTACACTTTAAGTACCACTAGTATGAACAACTTCGTGAGAATAAAAGTTGAAGCATCTCATAGGATCTGATCAAGTCATGTCATTGGCAGCTAAGTCTCTTCTAGGAACTTGAAGGCCAGGAAATTTGCCCCAGTACTGCCAGTATTCTCATCTGCTCTCATCATAGATTTTTAAAACTGTGTTCCTTAATCACATTAAAGGCACTTGTCTTCTTTTTGTCTGGTAGCATCTTTCAGTCAGTCTCATCATCAGTATCTTGTGACAACCATGTAGTGATGATTATAACATGATAACTTTTGTTTTTTAATTCTATTTCAGGGTGATTACAATTCAGAAATTCATCAGATCACAAGAGAAAGAGATGAACTTCAACATATGCTAGAAAGATTTGAAAAATATATGGAGGATATACAGTCCAATATTAAATTATTGACAGCAGAAAGAGATAAACTAAGTGTCTTATATAATGAAGTAAGAAACTTATTGTAATTAAGCCAATAGATTGTATAGAACCAGTTAACTATAATGGAGCTGGTATATATCCTTCACATTACTATAATATATGGATCTGTGATATTGCCTCAGAATTAAAATTAGCAGTAGTAGTTTCTACTATCATCCTGTTTCTAAAGCAGATATTTCTCTTATTTTTTCATATTTATTCTTTCCCTTTTCTAGCCTGTCTATGTGTCAGATCAGTTAGAAATAGTCTCCTTTTTTTAAAAACTACCTGGAACAGGTCTCAGCCTGACTATGAGCCAGATTTATGCTTAGAATTAAGACGTGTGGGGAAATGTCTATCAAAACAGTGGGTAGCATCCACTATTTGGATATTTTGGCTATTTAGGACTTATTCTATAAATACTGTACTATGGGGAGAGGGAATTGGTGTTCGCTTGGCCCCATTAGCAAAGCCTCAGTTGTTAGAGAGCAGGGTAAGTCTGAGCAAAGCATGGGGTCTGTCACCCATGTTTGTTCACATACCCATCTCCCATGAAATCCTGCTATTTTGAGAAGGGGAGGAGGCATGCAAGTTAAAAGGTCAAGTTGAAAGAGTCACTTTTTTGAGGTTTTTGGGGGATTTTGCAGTGTCATTTGACCTACTTCTGGGCTTTCCCCATTGCTGGCTTACATTTCAGCTTTCTTGGGTCTGCCTAGTTAATTCTACTTGTCTGTCTGCTGTCTAGTTTCCAACATTTTGTGGCTGGTGCCTCCCTCGATCCCCTTGTCTTTTTTTTTTATTCTTACTATTTTAATCCTTTTACTCTCATTTCGTTGGGATTTGGGAAGAGAGTGAAGGTAGCATGTGTTCAGTATGCCTTTTTTAACTGGGAACATAGCCAAAGTATTTTTTATTTATATCTTTTACCAAAGTGTCTTTTTTTTTTTTTTAAGACAGAGTCTTGCTCTGTCGCCGGGCTGGAGTGCAGTGGCGCAATCTCATCTTGGCTCACTGCAACCTCCACCTCCTGGGTTCAAGCAATTCTTCCACCTCAGCTTCCCGAGAAACTGGGACCTCAGGCATGTGCCACCACAACCGGCTAACTTTTGTATATTTATTAGAGACGAGGTTTCACTGTGTTGGCCAGGATGGTCTCAATCTCTTGACCTCATGATCTGCACACCTCGGTATCCCACAGTGCTGGGATTACAGGTGTGAGCCACCGGGCCCTGCCAAAGTGCCTTTTTAATTTATTTCTTTTAATTCTTTAAGGCTCAGGAAGAATTATCTGCCCTAAGACAGGAATCCACCCAAACTACAACACCCCATAATATTGTTAGTCTTATGGAAAAGGAAAAAGAACTTGCATTATCTGACTTAAGAAGAATTATGACAGAAAAGGAAGCTTTAAAAGAAAAATTAGAGGTAAGAAGATTGACATGCTTTTGAAAGGTAACTTGTTGAGAAGAAGAGGTATTTGTATACATTTTCCTGTGAAGTTACTATTCCAAATCCAGACCACTTTGTTTGTGTATGGCCTGTGGGTTAAGAATGGATTAAGAAGAATATTTCATTGTTGATAAAGTGTTACTGGAATACCTTGCCCAATTGTTTATGTATTTGTAGCTTTTGTAGTATGACCCAGAAAACCTAAAATATATACTGTCTGGTTTTTTACCTAAAAAATTTGCCAATCCCTGAACTTAATAGGAAGTTTCTCATATGGGAAGACATTATCTTTGTTTGTTTGTTTGTTTGTTTTTTGGTGACAGCTTTATGGAGATATTCACACACTATATAATTCACTCACTTAAAGTATACCAATTCATTGGTTTTGACTTACAATGGGATTACATTCCAGTAAACCCATTGTAAGTAAAACATGTAATGGGGGGAATGCATTTAATACCCCAATAAACCCATTTTAAAGTCTTACATTGAAAAATCTTAAGCCATTGTTAAGTCTACATGCTCCTTAACTTATACTGGGGTTATGTCCTTATAAACCCTGTAAACCAGAGACTAGCTGTATACTCACAGACTTGTGTAACTAACCATCACCACAGTCAATTTTAGAGCATTTTCATCACCACAAAAAGAAACTCTGAAACACAGTAGCCTCACTCCCCATTTCTGCCATCCCCCTCAGCCATAGGCAGCCACCAGTCCATTGCTGTCTCTATGGATTTGCCTACTCCAGACATTTCCTATAAATCGAATCATTCAATATGTGATTTTTAAATGTTGGACTTCTCTCATTAGCATAATGTTTTCAAGATTCATCCATAAATAATGTTGCTAGGAACTCATATACAGCTTTTTGTGTGGATATATATTTTCATTTCTCTTTGGTATATTCCTGGTCATATGATAAGTCAATCTTTAACCACTGCAACCAAGCTGTTTTTATTCCAACCAGTAGTGAATAAAGTTTCTAATTTCTACATGTTCTCCCCAGTACTTGGTACTATTTCCTTTTATATTATAGTCATTCCGGTGGGTGTGAAGTAGTCTCCATTGTGGCTTTTTTTTTTAGATTGTTTCGCTCTTGCTTCCCAGGCTGGAGTGCAATGGTGCAATCTTGGCTCACCGCAACCTCTGCCTCCCGGGTTCAAGCAGTTCTCCTGCCACAGCCTCCCGAGTCACTGGCATTACAGTCATGCACCACCACACCTGGCTAATTTAGTAATTTTAGTAGAGATGGGGTTTCACTATGTTGGCCAGGCTGGTCTCCTACTCCAGACCTCAGGTGATCTTTCGGCCTTGGCCTCCCAAAGTGCTGGGATTACAGGCGTGAGCCACTGCATCCGGGCCGCCATTGTGGTTTGATTTGCATTGCCTCGGAGCTAATGATGTTGAGCATCTTTTCATATTCTCATTGGCCATTTTTATAACCTTTTTTGGAGAAATGTCTGTTCAGATTCTTTGCCCATTTTTAAATTGAGTTGTCTCATTATTATTGAGTTGTAACATTCTTTATATATTCTAGATACAGCCCTTATCAGATACATGATTGGCAAATACTTTCATTCTGTGGGTCATTTTTCACTTTCTCAATGATGTCTTTGAAAAACAAAATTTTTTAATTTGGACGAAGTCCAGTTTATTTTTTTCTTTTGTTGGTTGTACATTTGGTGGCATATCTAGAGTCAGTACTTTATAGTTTCTTTTGTAATCTCCAAAAATATAAGTATATTAATACATATAAAGCACTTAATGATTAGCACATTGTAAGTACTAAATTATATTACTATAGAGTCCATAGTTTACTTGCAATCAATATTATTGAACTAATGCTTTAAAAGTAGCAGCTAAAATTAGAAATAAAAACATTTTAGCATTATAAGCATAGTCTTTATGTCACAATGTTCGGTTAAAATTTCACCCTAAATATAACAGTTTAAGAATACTTTTAATTGGAATCTTTTGGAATACTGCCTTCCAGAAAGTGTTTTCTTATAAAAATAAGTGTTAAAATTGCCAAATGGGAAACTTCTGTGCAGTATGGCAGCTTTTAGCACAAGCTACTGACTTACCCTTTTCCATATCTTTCGAAATGACCAAAGAATGTAAAAATAGGATTTTTAAAATGTAGTAGTACTGAAAGCTTGGAAAAAACAAGATTCATATTACCAGAATCCTTCTGGGTTACAGGAGGCAGGGTTTTGTGAGTTTACGATAGATCTTTTACTTAAAAATGTAACTAATCTCAATCCTTAAACCTCTTCCAGTGTTTCCCATTATTCCACTGTCTAACCAATTGTCAAATCCAAGCATCATCTATCACTAAGAGCTCCCTGAAAGCTCATATCTATCTCTCAATTACCAAGTCCTATAAGTGTTATCTATCTCTTGAATAATATTTAGCATGTATTAAGCCCTTCCCATGTGAGGCTTTGTTCTATTAAGTGCTTTTTACATGGATTGTCTTAGTAAATCTTCACAATAGCCTTTTTTTGAGCAGGGGTCTCACTCTGATCTGTTGCCCAGGCTGGACTGCCGTGGTGTGATCCCGGGTCAGTGCAGTCTCTGCCTCCTGGGTTCAAGTGATTTAGTAGAGACAGGGTTTCATCATGTTGACTAGCTTGGTCTAACTCCTGACCTCAGGTGATCCATCCACCTTGGCCTCCCAAAGTGCTAGAATTACAGGCATGAGCCTCTGCACCCAGCCTGTAATAGCCTTTTTTTTTTTTTTTTTTTTTGAGACAGAATTTCACTCTTGTCACCCAGGCTGGAGTGCAATGACTCGATCTCAGCTCGCTGTAACCTCTGCCTTCCAGGTTAAAGCAGTTATCCTGCCTCAGCCTCCCAAGTAGCTGGGATTACAGGCATCCGGCACCATGCTCTGCTACTTTCTGTATTTTTAGTAGAGACAGGGGTTTCATAATGTTTGTCAGGCTGGTCTCCAACGCCTGACCTCAGGTGATCCACCTGCCTCAGCCTCCCAAAGTGTTGGAATTACAGGCATTAGCCACCTCGCCCAGCTGTATTCAATAGGTACTGCTTACAGATGAGGTCTCAGTTACAGTGAGTTTAAATAACTTGCCCAAGGTCACTCAGCTACGAATTGCAAGAATCTGGCTTCTGGGCTCCTGTTACTTTCTCTAGAATTTGTTTACTTCTTTCCATTCCCCTGCTTCCATCCTGGTCTGGTCATTGTTCTCTCTCACCTGCATTATTGTGTTAATGGCCCCTGTTCTAATCTTGCCTCTCTCAAGGCTATATTTTACACTGAAGTCAGAATTATCTTTCAAAGATATTAATCTGATCATATCACTTCCTATTTAAAATCCGTTACTTGGTTTTGAGGACTAAAGTGATTGGCCCTTGCCTACCTCAAGGTCTAGCTTCTTTCCCCTAAACTCGTCTTGCCTGTTCACAAGACTTCAAGTTTAATGGACTTTTTCTTGCCTCCAACCTTCTGCATAGACTCTCGAAGATTCCTTCACACCTTCCAGTCTTCTTGTCCGGCTAATTTTTATTTATCCTTTAGGTCCAGGTCAAACATCATATCTTTTGATAGGAAATGAACTCTAGAAATGAACTCTAGATTCCCTTTTGATATTTTGGCATAAAGTTCCTTTTCCTAGAAGAATATTCATGGATTTTATTTTGAGCTCTTATTTAGGTTTTATCTTTTCTACTAGGCTCCAGCATCTGTGATGTCAGAGATTTTATCCACTTTACTCACTGCTGTATTCCTGACACCTTACTTGGTGCTTGGTATAGAGTATATACTCAATGCTAGTTGAGTGATTTATTAAGTACATACAGTACAGTGACTCAACCAAATATATAATCCAAACATCAGATGTGTCTGTTTCTTTTTAATGAATAACATGGATGGAAATATGAATCCATGCTAGAAAAACTGTCAGTGAACACCAAATTATATTGTTTATTTTAGACTTAGCAGCAGTAAGTTGTGTAAAGTGAAGTTACCAGAAAAATAGTCCCTGGGTTTATACTGTTGACCAGCCCCTTATTCAAACTCGCATCTCTTACATGGCCCTGTAGTATTCTGTTTCCTGTGTCTTTCTGATCTTGTCTTGTCTTCCTTTGCATTGTTTCTCTTACATCTCTTCTTGTGAGGGCATACTCCTGAGCTTTTTATTTAACCTGCTGGTTTTGTCCTTTTATAATTGTGCTGTTACAGATTAATCTGTATAAATATTTATAAATGAATCCTTACCAATCTGTGTCTCCTACTACAATCACACATGGAGGTAGGGAGTGTAAAAGATGAGCAACCTATTGTGCCTTTTTTAACCAAAAACATCACTTTTGTAAAACATCTAATGACTTTCTGTAGAAAGTAATGTCTTACTTTCTAAAACATTTCTGTGTTTTATGAAAGGACAAATACAACATAATAGAACTGTAGACTTGCATTGCTTACTGTGATGGTTTTGTTTTGTTATCTGATACAAATGAACATTTTCTTTAACATTCTTTTTTAGCATATCGAGGAAATGGATCTTTATGGAAAATCAGAATTAGAGAAAACTATTGAACATTTGACATGTGTTAATCATCAGGTAATGTATCAAACTGGATTTGGGGTATATCATGTTATATAAATAACTGTCAATTACAGTTTTAATATGCTATTTTTAAGTTTTTATTTTTATTTATTTTTTGAGATGGAGTTTGCTCTTGTTGCCCGGGTTGAAGTGCAGTGGCATGATCTCAGCTCACTGTAACCTCCACCTTTCAGGTTCAAGTGATGCTCCTGCCTCAGCCTCTTGAGTAGCTGGAACTATAGTCGCCTACCACCATGCCCAGCTGATTTGTTTTGTATTGTTAATAGAGACGGGGTTTCATCATGTTGGCCAGACCTGACCTCTTGATGCATCCACCTCAGCCTCATAACATGCTGGGATTACAAATATGAGCCACCATGCCCAGCCTAATACACTGTTTTATACAATTATAATAGCTGGGGATGGTGATGTGAACCTGTAGTCCCAGCTACTTGGGAGGCTGAGGTGCGAGGATCACTGGAGCCCAAGAGTTAGAGGCTACAGTGAGCCATGATGATGCCACTGCACTCCAGCCTGTACGACAGAGCAAAACTACAACTCCTTACAAAAAAATTACAAAATAGTATGCTAGAAAAGTTGTATAACAGCAGTTAGGAGTATATACTCTGAAGCTGATTATTTGGGTTCAAATCCATCTTTGTCTCCTGTTACCTGTTGGCAAGTTGCTTGACCTTTCTGTTCCCTGATTTTATTATTTGTAAAATAAGAATAGTGTTAGTACTTACTTCTTAGGGTTTTATGAAAATTAAATTAGTTAATACATATAAAGAACTTAGAAGCATTCCTGATACATTGTAAGTTCTTAGTAGGTATTAGCTATGATTATTGCTATTTTGCTCATAATAAAAAATCATAGGCCAGGCATAGTGGCTTATGCCTATAATCCCAGCACTTTGGGAGGCCAAGGTGAGGCAGGTGGATCAGTTGAGCCCAGGAGTTTAAGACCAACCTGGGTAAGACCAGGTAGGTCTTACCCATCTCTGCAAAAAATTTACAAATCAGCCAGGCATGGTGCCATGTACCTGTGGTCCCACCTAGTTGGGAGGATGAAGTAAGAGGATCCTCTTACTGGAGCCCAGGAGTTCAAGGCTGCAGTGAACTGTGTGATCACACCACTGCATTCCAGTCTGCGTGACAGAGCAAGACCCTGTCTTTTAAAAAAGAAAAAAAAAATCATATAATACAGACATAGAGTAAAAAGATAAATTTACTTCCATTTTTTATTACTCTCTCTAGAGATAGGATTTTTAATTTGGTATATTTTTGTTTTTATAATTTCAACTTTTATTTTAGATTCAGGCATACTTGTGGGGTTTGTTATATGGGTATACTGTGTGATGCTGTACAATTGATCCCATCACCCATGCAGTGAGCATAGTACCCAATAGTTTGTCAACCTTTGATGTGTTTTGTTTTAGCTAGTTTCTATTACTATCCTTTACTGTTTTAATTTATTTGCCTTCTATTTCTGTCATCTGGGTTAGTTGATTCGTCATCTCATCCTGGACTATATTTTCCTGTATCTTTGTGTGCCTGGTAATTTAATTTTAGTTTGGATGTCAGCCATTGTGGATCTTACCTTCTTGGTTATTAGATAGTTTGTATTACTGTAAATACTTGAGGTTTGTTCTGGGATGCAGTTAAATTACATGGAAGTAGCCTGATCCTTTAGTCTTGCCTTTAAGCTTTCTTAGGTGGGATCAAAGTAGCATTTAGTCTTGAACTAATTTTGTTTCACTACTGAGATAAAACCCTTTTGCATATGCTACCTAATTGCCCTATGAATTATGAGGTTTTCAAATGACTGATGGGCACAGGAACTTTCCCTGGCCCTGCATGAGCTCTGAGTATTATTCTCTCTAATTTGTTCATGGTTCTTTCCTTGGCCTTGGGTAGTTTTCTCTGTGCTGAGCTCTACTCAGCCAAAGACTCAAAGCATACCCTTTATAGATCTATGGAGCGCTCACTCTTTGCACCTCTCCTCTAATATCTGTCCTGCAAACTTGAGCTGCCTTGGCCTTCTTTGACTCTGATGTCTGTCTTCTGAACTTAGGGCAGACCACTGGGTTCCATGTGGGTTCCTTTCCCTGTGCCACAGTCTGGAAATTCTCCAGGCAATAAGCTGGAGCAAGTGTAAAGCTCATCACATTTGTTTCCTGTCTCTCAGAAGTCACTGGTCATCATTGCCTGATGCGTAGTGTCCTGAAAACCACTGTTTCATATATTTCATCCAACTTTTTAGTTATTTCAGGCAGGAGAGTTATCTGGTCCCTATCACTCCAGCTTGACCAGAAGCTAAAAGCGGTAATTAATAAACTGGAAAATACATCTGAAGAAAGTATTAGAAAGTCATTGAAAAGAAACAAAGAAAGTATTTTAAAAGTTAAAATGTTGGAGAATAGGGTGAGAAGATCTAATTCTCTGACTAATGCTTAGAGTTCAAGGAGGATATAATAGCATGTGGGAAAGGCAGTATTTAAAGAGATAATGATTGATGATTTTCTAGATATGAAAACACAGAAACCCTCTGATTCAGAATGAATTTCAAAAGCATGACAAATCCCAAACAAGATAAATAAAAAGAAAATGCATACAGTTTTAGTAGTCATGAATAATACAAGATATCTATGGATACATTTACAGAATCTTCATAGGAGACATAATGCAACCATATTGAAAGTCGTTAAAGCCTAAATAAGTGGAGGATTTTATCAGGTTTATAAAAAAGGTTATAAAAATAACATAAATTTTTCCCAACTTGGATCTATAGAGCTGAGGTAGTTCCAGTTGAAATCCCAGGAAGGTTTTGTGGGGGCAAGGGGGAAGAATTGACAATAGATCTTAAAATTTATGTGGAAGCAAAAAGCCAAGCATCACATAGAAAGTTTAAAGAACAACATGGTGCTAGACTTTCCCTCCCAGATGCGAAGCCTTTAGAGTCCTAGTAAGACATAATAGTCCAGGTGTGGTGGCTCACACCTGTAATCCTAGCACTTTAGGAGGCTGAGGCGGGAGGATCACTTGAGGTTAGGAGTTCAAGATTGGCTTGGCCAACATGGTGAAACTTCATCTCTACTAAAAATACAGAAATTAGCCAGGCAAGGTGGTATGCACCTGTAGTCCCAGCTACTTGCGAGGCAGAGGCAGGAGAATCACTTGAACCCTGGAGGTACTGGTTGCAGTGAGCTGAGATCGTGCCACTGCACTCCAGCCTGGGCAACAGAATGAGACTCTGTCTCAAAAGCAAAACACTAACAAAAACTCTATGAGCCAACAATTCCCTTTCTGTATACGTACCGTTGATGGAGCTCAGCAAAATATGACCTCCAGGGCATATGCAGCTTCCAGCCTGTTTTTGCATCACGGCTTTGCTCGTTTATTTACATATTGTCTGTGGCTGCTTTTGTGCTATGATGGAGTTGTGGTAGGGCTGGCAAAACTGCCTTTTTTCTTGTAGATTTTTTTTTTTAGTTAGTAATTGACTTTGTTTTGGTTTGCTTTGCTTTTTGTTACCTGGTTTTCCTTGAACCTATTGCTAAATTTTTTCAAGAGTTCCATTGTCTCAGACTTATGCCTTTAAATATGTTTTGAATATAAAAACATCAGTTTCAGTTTTTTCATCTGAAAACCTCACTTTCTGAGCTGTGTATTCTTATTCCTGTACTGTCTTTTTAGCAATTCTTTCAGAGGGAGGGAAGATAAAATATGTGTGGTCAGTCCACACTATTAACTGGAAGACTTACATTTATTACTAATATTTGTTTTAAAATTTAAATATAGGTCATTTTTCTGTCTAGAATTTATTTTTTATGTAAAATAAAGAAGAAATCCTGCTCCGTTTTTTTTCTCCAATGAGTGGTTTGTCCCTACACTTATTTATTTATTTTAAAGAGACAGAGCCTTGCTCTGCTGCCCAGGCAGAAGTGCTATTGTATGATCATAGCTCACTGCTGCCTCTAACTCTGGGGCTCAAGTGATCCTCCTACCTCTGCCTCGCTAGTAGCTAGGACTACAGGTGTACAACCATACCCAGCTGATTTTTTAAAAAGTTGTAGAGACAGAATCTTATGATGTTTCCCTGGTTGGTCTCAAACTCCTGACCTCAAGTAATCCTCCTGGCCTCAAGTGATCCTCTTGCATTGGCCTCCCAAAGTACTAGGATTACAGGAGTGAGCTACCACACCCAGCTCCCTACTCATTTTTTTAAGTTTATCCTTTTTCCTACTTCCCAAAAATTTGCTATCTTTTCTAAATTTATATCTGTACATGATGTTTTTCACTGTTTTCACTTTCATATGTTTGCTTGTGCATTTGTATGTGAAATCCTCATTGTTTTAATTATAACTTTTTTTTTTTTTTTTGAGACAGAGTCTCGCTCTGTCACCCGGGCTGGAGTGCAGTGTTCCTATCTCGGCTCACTGCAACCTCTGCCTCCCAGGTTCAAGTGATTCTCCTGCCTCAGCCTCCCTAATAGCTGGGACTAAAGGTGCATGCCACCACACATGGCTAATTTTTTGTGTTTTTTTAGTAGAGACGGGTTTTCACCATGTTAGCCATGATGGTCTCGATCTCTTGACCTTGTGATTCACCCACCTCAGCCTCTCATAAAATAACTTTATCGTGTGTTTTGATATCTTATAAAGCAAGTATACTTGTATTTTTTCCAAAAAGATTTTTGTTTTTTCTTTTTTTTTTTTTTTTGTAAATGAATTAAGAACCAAATCTAGGCCATTCTCCTTTTAAAAAAATATCAGAATTTTTATTGGAATTCAACTGAATTTACTATTACTTGAAGAAAGTTTAATACATTTATAATATTGTACTCCCATCAAGAAACATCATGTGCCATTACATTATGTGAGGTTATGTTCTGTGCTCTTCAGGAAAATTACTCCGTTTCTTCACATAAATCTTGCCCACTTTGTGTTTGAGTTACAGTGTTTTGTGCTGTTTTTTCCCCCCCTCAATTCAGTCCTATTTACTTACTATGTTTTAGAAATTCCTCAAAATTTTCACTCTGCTAGTGGTTTCCCTTCTGGTGTTTCATTGCTGTTATAGATATATTCTTTTCTCGTTTTGTTTTTTGTTTGTATCTTTAATAGTGAGGAGAGAGAAATTTTATGCTCATTCTGACTCCTAGAACCTAAACTGTACACATGACTTTTAAAGTTTTTTGAAAGTAAATATATTTTCTTAGTTTTCTTCCAGAAATATTATTAGAGTGCCTAAGAAAAATATAATCAACATATTAAGATATATACCTATTATTTTTTAAATTTAAATTATAGCTTGAAAGCGAAAAATATGAATTAAAGTCTAAAGTGTTAATAATGAAAGAAACAATAGAGTCATTAGAGAACAAATTAAAAGTCCAAGCTCAAAAATTTAGCCATGTGGCTGGTGACTCATCTCATCAGAAAACGGAGGTGAACTCACTTAGGTAAGTTTATTCAACATTTTCTAATTTCATTTCTGGGAATGTGTTTGTGGTTATATAAAGTTTATAACCATGGCATTTTGGACTAGGCCTTTGTGCCTTAGCTTTAGAAGTTGGCTTTGCAGCAGACTCACCTGGGAGCTTTTGAAAAGTATGAATTTAGGGGGCTGATTTCTGGAGGTTCTGATTCACTGAGAATCTACTGGGGTAGGTTTTGGGTATCTGTATTTTTCTAAAGAAATTTCACAGATTAATATGATTGCAGGCAAGGTTTTTCAACCTCCTTCCTTTTGAAATCCTCTTAAATACTTTAGATCATTTGTGTTCCATAGTGTAAGATTGCTGAAAATTACAGAATTGTTTACTACCTATGCCATTTTCTTTCTCTTTCTTGCCTCTTTCAAAGAAATGTAAAGTCAGAGAATTTATCTATTTTTAACCTTTTCTGACTTAGAAATTTTTAAGTAGGGAGGTGAGACATATGACTAGTATTCCTTTTAGGAAGCTAACTCTGGTGGAAATATGGAACATGGATTTGAAATCTTAGAGATTGATGGCAAATAAAGAAGACGGAGGATCTGTACTGAAGCAGTGGTAATGAACTCAGAGAACAGAGATCAAATTTAAGAAACGCCTCTTACATAAAATCAAAAGGTTTGGATAACTAATATGGGGCTGAGAAATACAATAAGTAGAAGATTTACCTTAGCATATTGGGTTGTTAGTTAGTCATTAATTAATTAAGAATACAGAAGACTCAAGGAAACAAAAGACAAATGAAGCTTTTTTCTGGTCAGGGTAGCTGCAACCACTCTGAAGAGTCTGAGGAAATACCTCTCTAAATTACATTTGCAGTCAGAATTAGACAAAGATTTTCACATGTCAGCGAGACATTACATCTGTGAAACAATCATAAAACAGTGACAACTTGGGATCAGAAAGGATTATAATGACACTTTTTTAAAAATTAAATTAAAACTGAAAAGTTAATGAATGGCATTGGATATTGCAGAAATATGAGTTGATGAAATAGAAAACAAACTAATGAAAGTCACCCCAGAACTCCAAAAAACAAAAAGAAATGATGAGAAAAAAGACATAGATCCAATATACAAAAAACTAGGAATCACAAAAGTTTACAGTAAACAGAGAATCAAAGGAATTAGGAAAAGAAAGTTCTGAGACTATAGTTCATAAGGGTTCTGATTAGCTAATGACTTAATGAAATAAGACCAAGAACTGGGTGTGTCTAGTTAATTAAGGAATACAGCGTTAGTAACTCTTACAGAGCATCTCCAGTTTTGCTCTTTTGCTTTTTTGACTATAGTTTTGATAGCTTAAACCTCAGGAAGAACTAAAGTAGATACTGCTTTTTTCTTTTCTTTTTTATGCAAGAGTGGAGCCAAATGGACCAGTATCTCCTCTGGCTCATGTCTGGATTCAGCTCCAAAGTACAGATAACATTGTATATTCTTGTCGTCCAGAATTTCACTTTCATATCCAGCTGACTGCATCTAGCATTTAATCCATTTTGCTTTTCCTTGAAATTATAGTTGAAACACCTTTTTTCCTCACACGAGGTTTTTTCCAGTCTTAGAAGGCAGAGCTCTCATTGCCCTCTCTTGAATAACCTAGCCTATAGCTCCTTTGGAGTTTTATTTCTTGTACTAATACTAATATCCTTTTCTCTTGTGACCTTAATCTACCTCTTCCTTCACCTAGGAGTGATTCAGTCACTGTGCCATTGTGAGAATTTTTGTCTACCTTTCTACGAGGTTACCTTATTTAACCTGGGGATATGGTATTATTTCAAAAATTTGTTTTGCCCTAACAGAGAAATATGACTTGTCTCTCAGGAAAGTGTATATCAATCATATTCTCTGTATCAATAAGTATTGTTAGAACCATGAGTTGAAACCATCGAATCCAGGTCCAAAGCAAAACCAAAGGCAAACCATAATAGCCAGCACTCTTGGGAAGCAAAATCTTGTTATCCAAACCTCTTCCCCTTTCAACATGATTAATAGAGCTCTTGCTACCCCTCTGATGACATCACATTCTCTTTTTCCTTGACATAAAGACATTTAAGAAGCTGAGACTCAGGGCTGGACATGGTGGCTCATGCCTGTAATGTCAACACTTTGGGAAGCCAAGGTGGGAGGATTACTTGAGCCCAAGAATTCAAGAGCAGCCTGGGCAACATGGGGAAATCTCATCTCTGCAAAAAATACAAAAATCAGCCAGGCATGGTAGCATGTGCCTATATCCCCAGCTACCTGAGAGACTGAGGCAGGAGGATTGCTTGAGCCTAGGAGTTCAAGGCTACAGTGAGCTGTTATCATGCCACTCTACTCCAGCCTGGGTGACAGAGTGAGACTGTCTCAGGCAGGTAAGGCATTTCCTTGAGGTACCTATCTTCTATTTCCCTTCCTGTGTCAAGCTTTTTTCACCAAATTACCAACAAACAGACATTTCTATATCAACCATAATCTTTAATTCTTCAAATAGAGAATCTTTTGTGTAGGTTCTTTGTCTATTGTCAGAGGACATAATATAAAATCTCATTTTTTAACCACATCTTAAATTACTGTCATTCCCTTTAATTGCATTGTTTGATGAGATCTGGCATTTTAAACCCTGGATCAAAGCTACATGATACTATAAGGGAGCTTCTGTCTACCCAGGAAGGATAGTTTCCCAGAGCATGCTAGCCAGTCTTTAGAGCTTGAGGTCAACAGTCTTTTTTTTGTAAATAGACGAGAGTCAGTATTTTAGACCAAGCTTATCCAACCCACCGTATTTCGTTGTTATTCTGTTTTGTGTTGTTTTGTTTTAGGCTTTCAGCAGCCTGAAGTCATGGTTTTTAGTTTCTATCTCTAGTAATAAGTGAAAAAGAGGGATGAGAAAGACTTTACTGGCCCAACCAGAAACAACCTAAGAACCCATGACTGTATTACTCCCTTAGACACCCTGAGACTATGCAGGCCACGTAGTTTATGTCACACCTACTTAACACTGCCTTTGTAGCCTGAAAGTAGCCGTAGACAGTATATAAAATGAAGTAGTGTGGTTGTGTTCTAATACTTCATTATGGACACTGAAATTTGGATTTCATATAATTTTCATATGTCACAAAATAATAATATTTTGTTGAAAAAATTTTTTAGTCATTTAAGCATGTAAAAACCATTCATACTACTCAGGCCTTAGAGAAATTGGCAGCCAGCTGTAGTTTGTCAACCCCTGCTCAAGTAAAATTGTTTCCAGCCCAGTTGGACAACTCACTTTTCTCAATCAACCCCTAGTAAACATCCTTACGCCTCACAACTACCAGCTTTAAGGTTCTAAATAGTGACGGTCCTGGAACTGAAAATACTATCAGACTGTCTTCAATTGACCTTAGTCTTTATCTGTGTATGTTCCAAACCAGAGGGTATACTCTTATCTAGGATCAAATAAATGCTATAGCAGATTTTCCTGGAAATTACCCATAAACTCTAGGCAATATATATTAGTTGTTTTACTAGGATTTCTTTAGATGTATTCAGAAAACCAAATGTAACTAGTCCCCCATGACAAGTGTTTATTTGTTAAGGTAATTGATCAGCATTTTATTTTACTTTACTTACTTTTGAGGCAAGGTCTCACTCTGTCAGGCTGGAGTGCAGTGGCACAATCATGGAAGATGGAACCATTTTGGAGATGAATGGTAGACAGCAGGAAATAATAATATATAATGCTATTGATTATACTGGAAGAGCTTTAAAATAAAAAATAACAGAAACTTTAAAAATAAGACCTCAAAATATTTTTAAGACATCTCATTTTTTGAAAGTATTTCTATGAGAGATAAAGAATACCATTTTTTTTTTCCACTGATTCTTTAGGATGGTGAATGAGCAGCTACAGCAGTCACTTGATGACTGTCAGCACCGACTTTCCATAAAAAGGAGTGAACTTGACTCAGCCCAAGCACAAATTAAAATACTGGAGGAAAAAATAGGTAAATGTTTTAAAATTTTCTTTCTGCAAATCCTAATATACTTTGACTAACAAACATTTCTTTTCATTTATAGATGAACTAAACCTTAAGATGACTTCACAGGATGAGGAGGCTCATGTAATGAAAAAGACCATTGGTGTTATTGATAAAGAAAAAGACTTTCTCCAGGATACTGTAGATGAGAAGACAGAAGAGATCGCAAATTTGCAAGAAAACCTAGCTAATAAAGTATGTGATTGTTTTATATAATTTTCCAGCATCCAAACAGAAAAAGTTATTTTGTTTGTTTGTTTTTGGGTGGGATCTCACTCTGTCGCCCAGGCTGGAGTGCAGTGGCATGATCACAGCTCACTGTAGCCTCTACCTGTTGGGCTCAAGCGATCTTCCCACCTCAGCCTCCCAAGTAGCTGGGACTATAGGCGTATGCCACTCTGCCTGGCTAATTAAAAAAAATTTTTTTGTGGAGATGGGGTCTTACTTTGTTGCCCAAGATAATCTCAAATTCCTGGGGTCAAGCAATCCTCCCATCTTGACCTCCCAAAGAATTGGAATTATACACATGAGCCACTACCCCTGGCTAGAAAAGATTATTTTATTTTCATATATGCATTTCTTTTTTTTAAAAGGTTTATTTACTTTTGGTTGGGTGTGGTAGCTCACACCTGTAATTCCAGCACTATGGTAGGCCAAGGCAGGAGGATTGCTTGAGCTTAGGAGTTCAAGACAAGCCTGGGCTACACAGTGAGACTCCATCTCTACCAAAAATAAAAAAAATTAGCCAAGCATGGTGGTGTACACCTGTGACCCCAGGTCTCAGGAGGCTGAGGTGGAAAGATCACTTGAGCCCAGAGGCAGAGGTTGCACTGAGCTGAGATCATGCCACTGCACTCCTGTCTGGTGACACAAGCAGGATCCTGCCTCAAAAAAAAAAAAATTAAATACATAAAAATGTATGTACTTTTATTGTTACATGTGAGATATACATATTTTTGGGTTACATATGATAATTTGAGACATATAATCAAGTCAGGGTAATTGGGATATTTATCACTTTATTTTTTTCTTTATGTTAGGAATGTTTGAATTATTTTTTTCTAGCTGTTTTGAAATGTACACTGGATTAGTATTAGCTAGTGTCACCCTATTGATATCTATCAAATACTGGGTCTTATTTCTTCTAAGCATATATTTGGTACCCATTAATTAACCTCTCTTCACGTCTCCTCCCTCTTCCTTTTACTGGTCTTTGGTAACCACCAGTCTGTTCCCTGTCTTCATGAGATCCACTTTTTAGCACCACATATGAGTGAGAATAAGCAATGTTTGCCTTTCTGTGCTTGACACATTTCACTTAACATAATGACGTCCAGTTCCATCCATGTTGCTGCAAATGGCAACATTTCATTCATTTTCATGGCTGAATAATATTTCCTGTTTACGTATACCAGGGGCAGATATTTCTTTGATATATTGATTTTCTCTCTTTCAGATGTTTACTCAGTAGTGGAATTTCGGGATTGTATGGTAGTTCTGTTTTTAGTTTTTTGAGGAACCGTCATACACTATTTTCCATAGTGGCTATACTCATTTACATTCCCACCAGCAGTATACAAGAGTTCCCATTTCTCCACATCCTCGCCAGCATCAGTTATACCCTGTCTTTTTGATAAAAGCTATTCTAACTGGGGTGAGATGATATCTCATTGTGGTTTTAATTTGCATTTCTCTGATAATTAGTCATGTTGAACATTTTTCACATGCTTTTTGGCCATTTGTATGCTTTCTCTTGATAACTGTATATGAAAATCTTTTGCTCATTCTTAAATTAGATTATTCAGAGTTTTTTAGCTATTGAGTTGTTTGAGCTCCTTCTATGTTCTTGATTATTAATCCCTTGTCAAATAGATAGTTTGCAAATATTTTCTCCCATTCTGTGGGTTGTCTCTTTACTTTGTTAATTGTTTCCATTGCTGTGCAGAAGCTTTTTGGCTTGATATAATCCCATTTGTATGTTTTTACTTTTATTGCCTATGCTTTTAAAGTCTTATACAAACAATATTTGCCCACACCAATGTCCTGGAGCATTTCCCAGCCTTTTCTTCTACTAGTTCCATAGTTTCAGGTCATAGATTCAAGTTTTTAATCCACTTTGATTTGATTTTTATATATGGTGTGAGATAGGGGTCCAGTTTCATTATGCTGCGTATGGTTATCCAGTTTTCCCAGCACCATTTATTGAAAAGACTGCCCTTTCCCTATTGTATGTTCTTGGCATCTTTGTTGAAAATGAGTTGGCTTTAAATGTGTAGATTTATATCTGGGTCCTCTATTCTGTTCCATTTTTCTGTGTATCTGTTTTTATACCAGTACCATGCTGATTGGATAGCTATATGGTATATTTTGAAGTCAGTTAGTGTGATCTCCTGCTTTGTTCCATTTACTCAAATGATTGCTTTGGCTATTTGGGGTCTTTTGTGGTTCCAATTTATTTGCAGATATTTCTTTTTCTATATCTGTGAGGAATGTTGATTGTATTCTAAAGGGATTACTTTGAATCTGTATATTGCTTTTGAGTGGTATTATCAGTTTAACAACATTATTACTTCAATCCATGAGTATGGAATATCCTTCTTTTTTTTATGTCCTCTTCTATTTCTTTTATTAGTGTTTTATACTTTTCCTTGTATAGATCTTTCACATCTTTAGTTAAATTGATTCTTAGGTATTTTATATTATTTGAAGCTATTGTAAATAGATTGCTTTCTTGATTTCTTTTTCAGAGTGATGTTGGAGTATTAAAATGCTGTTGATTTTTGTAATCTTGATTTTGTATTGTACAGCTTTACTGAATTTGTTCATTACTTCGAACAGTTTTTAGTGGAGTCTTAAGGTTTTTCTAAATAGAAGATCGTGTAGTCTGCATACAAAGCTAATTTGACTTATTCTTTTCCAATTTGGATGCTCTTTATTTCTTTCTCTTGACTAATTGCTTTTGTTAGGACTTCTGGTATTATGTCGAATAAAAGCGGTGAAAGTGGGCATCCTTGGCTTGTTCCAGATCTTAGAGGAAAGGCTTTTAAGTTTTCCCCATTCCATATTATGTTGGCTCTGAGTTTGTCATATATGGCCTTTGTTATTTTGAGGTATTTTCTTTCTGTACCGTTTGTTGAGGGTTTTTGCAATAAAGGGATGTTGCAATTTATCGAATGCTTTTCAGCATCTATTGAAATGATATATATGGTTTCTGGCTTCTGTTAATGTATCACATTTTTTGATTGTGCATGTTGAACCATTCTTGCATCCTTAGGATGAATCTTACTTGGTCATGGTGAATGATCTTTTTAATTCATTTAAAAGGTATTACCAACCCAAATGACCATCAATGATAGACTGGATATAGAAAATGTGGCACATATACACCATGGAATACTCTGCAGCCATAAAAAAGGATGAGTTCATGTCCTTTGCAGGGACATGGATGAGGCTGGAAACTATCATTCTTAGAAAACTAACACAAGAACAGAAAACCAAACACTGCGTGTTCTCACTCATAAGTGAGAATTGAACAATGAGAACACATGGACACAGGGAAGGGAACATAACATACCAGGCCCATCAGGGAATGGGGAGCTAGCGGAGGGATAGCATTAAGAGAAATACCTAATGTAGATGACAGATTGATGGGTGCAGCAAATCACCATGGCACGTGTATACCTATGTAACAAACCGTTCTGTGAAACCGTGTGTACACCGTGTTGTACACAATAAACATATACTATTTCTTGTCAATAAAATAAAATAAATTATTTTTTAAAATGAAGAAAAATATTGTTGAATTTAGTTTGCTAGTACTTTGTTGAGGATCTTTACATTTGTGCATCAATGATATTGGTCTGTAGTTTTCATTTTTTGTTGTGTCTGTCTGGTTTTGGTATCAGGGTAATGCCTGGTTTTAGTCTTTTGGATTGTTTTTTAGGCCTTGTAGAATGAATTTGGAAGTATTCCACCCTCTTCAATTTTCTTGAAGAGTTTGAGCAGGAATTTGTATTATTTCTTCTCTTAGATGTTTGGTAGAGTTCAGCAGTGAAGCCATTAAGTCTTGGACTTTACTTTTGTAGAAGAATTTTTATTATAGCTTCTATCTTATTACTTGTTATTGGTTTGTTGAAGTTTTCTGTTTCTTCATGGTCCAATCTTGGTAGCTTGTAAGTTTCCAGGAATTTATCCATTTCTTCTAGGTTTTATAATTTGTTGGCATTTGATTGTAATTGGCTTTCATGATTCCTTATATTTCTGTGGTGACAGTTATGTCCTCTTTTTCATTTCTGATTTTATTTGTTGGGTCGTCTCTCTTTTTTTCTTAGTCAACCTTAAAGGTTTGTTGATTTTTGTTTATCTTTTTTAAAAACCAACTTTCCATTTCATGGATCTTTTGGATTGTTTTTTAGTCTCAATTTCATTTATTTTTGCTCTGATCTTTATTCTTTCTTGCCTTCTACTAATTTGGGGTTTGGCTTATTCTTTTCCAGTTCCTTGACATACATAATCACTAGGTTGTTTTTTGAAGTCCTTTTTTTTGTGTGTGTGACAGGTTCTCACTCTGTTGCCCAGGCTGAAGTGCAATGGCAAGATCATGGCTTATTGGAGTCTTGAATTTTCAGACACAAGCAATTCTCCTACCTCAGCCTCCTAATTAGCTGGTACTACAGATGTGTGCCACCATGCCCAGCTGATTTTTAATTTTTTTGTAGAGGCGGTGTCTTAACATGTTTCCCACGCTGGTCTCGAACTCCTGGGCTCAAGTAGTTCTCTGGCTCTGCCTCCCAAAGTGCTGGGACTTATAGGCATGAGCCACCATGCCCAGCCTCACCTTTTTTGATACAGACATTTGTTGCTATAAACTTCCCTCTTAGCACTGTTTTTACTGTATTCCATAGATTTTGGTACATTATATTTCCCTTTTCATTTGTTTAAATTATTAATTGCTTCTTAATTGCTTAATGAGAGGATTGTTTGAGACCACAAGTTCAACACTAGCCTGGGCAACATAGTGAGACCTCATTCTACAAAAAAAAAAAAAATTATCTAAGTATGGTGGTATGCACCTGTAGTCCCAGATATTCAGGAACCTGAGGTAGGAGGATCACTGGAGCCCAGGAGTATAAGGCTGTAGTAAGCTATAATCCCACTATTGTACTTCAAGTCTGGGTGATAGAACAAGACCCAGTCTCTAAAAAACAAACAAATGAAACAAAGCAAAACACCCACAAAGAAAAAGCTCCAAAAAATTCTACACTAACTCTGTCTCTCTTGCATTCTCACTTTTAGTTGTCTTAATTTGCAAATTTGTATATTGACTATGTCTTAACAGGTTTCTGTAGTTGTTCTTTTTGGTAGATTAGTTTTTTAGGCTTCATACTAGAATTATAAGTAGATTGTATATCACAGTTACAGTATTAGAGTATTCTGGGGTTGTCTCTGTATTTAATTTTACCAGTGGGTTTTATATCTTTAAATGTTTTCTTTTTGCACATAAGCGAGTTTTTTTCTTTCAAATTAAAGAACTCCCCTAGCATTTCTTATAGGATGTGCCTGTTCGTGGTAAATTCTCTTAGCTTTTGTTTATCTGGGAAGGACTTTGTCTTTTTTTAATATTTGAAGGATTCTTTTGCTGGATAACATATTCATGTATGGCAGTTTTTTTCTTTTAGACCTTTGAAAATGATAGTCTACTTCCTCTTGGCCTGTGTAGTTTCTTTTGAGAAGTCTGTTTCTAGATGAATTGGAGTTCCTTTATGTGTTATTTGATTTTCTCTTTCTACTTTTAGGAACCTATCTTTGTCCTTGGCCTTGGAGAGTTTTTTTATATGCCTTGGGGCAGTCTTTTTTTGGATCGAATCTAGTTGGTATTCTCTGACCTTCCTATACCAGGAAATTTATCTTTCTCAAGTTTTGGAAAGTGTTCTGTTATTATTTCTTTGAATAAACTTTCTACCTCTTGCTCTTGCTCAGCTCCCTTTTGAACACCAAAATCCTTAGGATTTGTATTTTTCTATATCTTGTAGGCAAGTTTTGGTCCTTTTAATTCTTTTGTTGTTGTTGTTGTTCTCCTTTGCGTAATTTCAAATAGCTTGTCTTCAAGCTCACTGATTTCTGCCTCTGCTTGATTCATTCTCCTGTTGAGATCCACCAGTCAATTGTTCAGATCAGGAAATAGATGTCTCGATTCAAAGATTTGTTTGACATTTTTCATTATTTCAGTCTCTTTGTTAAATTTCTCTGATATGAGCGAAGTGTGCTGATATGCACCTGTGGTTCCAACTACGTGGGAGGCTGAGACAGGAGGATCCCTTGAGCCCAGGTGGTCAAGTCTGCAGTGAGCTGTGATTACACCACTGCATTCCAGCCTGGGCAACAGAATGAGACCCTGTCTCAAAAAAAAATTTTCAAAAAAATGTTTATGATAATTTTCTGAATTTATTTGCTGTGTTATCTTGGAGATCACTGTGTTTCCTTGATATCTTAATTTTGAATTCTTGGCCAGAGAGCTTAGGTGTCAATGTCTTGTCAGGATCAGTCACTGGTTCCTTGCTTTGTCCATTTGAAGAGTTCATGGCTCCCTGTTTGCTGTTGTTTCTTGTGGATATATGTCTGTGTCTTTGAAGGATTAGTTATTTATTCTAGTCTTCTCTGTCAGGCTTGTTTTTTGTTGTTTTTGTTTTTTTGAGACAGAGTCTTGCTTTGTCACCCAGGCTGTAGTGGAGTGGTGCGATCTCAACTCACTGCAACCTCTGTCTCCTGGGTTCAGGTGATTCTCCAGCCTCAGCCTCCTAAGAAGCTGGAATTATAGGCACATGCCACCATGCCCAGCTAATTTTTGTATTTTCAGTATAGATGGCATTTCACCATGTTGGCCAGGCTAGTGTCAAACTCCTGACCTCAGGTGATCCACCTGCCTCAGCACTGGCCTGGCTTGATTTTTTTTTTTTTTTTGAGATGGAGTCTTACACTGTCACCAAGACTGGAGTGCAGTGACGCAAGTTCAGCTCACCACAACCTTGGCTTCCAGGTTCAAGTGATTCTCCTGCCTCAGCCTCCTGACTAGCTGGGACTATAGGCACCTGCCACCACACCCAGCTATTTTTTTGTATTTTTAGTAGAGACAAGGTTTCACTATGTTGGCCAGGCTGGTCTTGAACCCCTGACCTCATGAGCCACCATGCCCGGCCTTGTTTTGGTTTTTATTGGTTATGTTTGCTTAGAGATGCTTCAAACTTTATTGAATTTCTTATACTTTTTTCCCTAGATCACTGTCTCCTTTTTGTCACTAGATGGTGGCCTAGACCCCTGCCCATCTGGGATGGGGGAGGTCCCAAAGGGGATGTCTCAGCAGTGTGGAAGGGCTGGCTAAGGGTTTGTGCCCACAGGACCTGTGGAATGTACCTCCTACAGCATGGTGTTACTGAACTACAACTCTGATTTGGTGTTTGGCCAAGTAATAGAGAAGAGTTTCCAGGGATGAGGAGGTACTCCTACCTCCCCGCTTTATCTCTGGCTGTCCTCAGGGATAGGTCTCCCTTCAGGTATCCATGATATTTCCTGTGTGTTGAGGCATGGAACAGGTCTCCTGTCAAATTACCCAAAATTGTAGAGAAGCTGGTTACCCACCTCAATCTCACCTTTTTTAGTGTAGAAACCATGAGTTAGGGGAGATTCTCCATGTACCTGGTGCCAGCAGATTGGGGGAAGGGGTGTCACAGATGTGAAAATTTGATTCTCTTATCGTCTGCTCAGAGTTTTTTTACCTCTCTGTGGTCCAGGAACTGACTCATCCTTGTATTTGATTCCTGGGATAGTGCTGATGATAATGTTAGCATTGTATATTTATTTTTTGTTTCCTTTGTGAGGACTGAGGTCAGCTTGCGACTACACCACCATTTTAGAACCAGAAGTTTCCCAAATATGCAATTATTATTGCCCATGTACAAGTTTCTAAGACCCAGGGCCATGTTTTCTAACATGTTTAAATGTCATTTTCTTCAAATAATATTAATCTTCAAAATGTGATTTTATCTATTTCTAGAATGTGATTTTATCAGAATTCATTAAAGCAAACTCAAGAAAACTATTCAAGGGTAGTCAAAACATGCCAATATGTGAAGTACGACTGGGACATGGAGATGTTTCCTTGGAGCTTTGTTTTAGAAATACTTTATATAATTGAGCTGCATATTTGAACTCTGTGAATATGGAAGTTATATAAATTTAGCTAAAGACATATTGGTTTAAAATCTGACACATTTTTGTAATTTCTGTAGGAAAAAGCTATTGCTCATATGAAGATAATGGTCTCAGAGTGTGAATCATCTATGAAGTAAGTCATTAATGAAATTACATCCAGCTTTTTAAGAGATTGTCAGTGAATACAGCTTTATCTGTTCAATAGCGGTTCAGCAATAGGAGAATTTTCCTTTCAGCTTTCCCATTTTTGCCAATGGCAGCATCATTTTCTCAGTCTCCAGCTTGAAAATATGTTATCCTCTTTAACCTCTCGTTTTCTGTCATCCCCATCTAAACAGTTATATCTTATTAACTGTACTTCTACATACCTACTTGTTCCTTATTTTTACTATAATTATCCTACTTGGAGCCTAATCAGTAAAACTTGAATTACTTTAATAGCCAATCTTGAATTTATTGTCCTTCTAAACCTATCTTGAGCGCTGTCATAAAATTTTACATTTTATGTCTAGTCTCTTTAGACAGACTATAAGCCACTTCAAGAAGAAAGTCACTTGTTATATTTATTTTACATACCCTTAAGATTTTATATAATAGTTGGGATATAAACATTTAATAAATACTTGCCAGTTGAATCTATGCTTTACTATTTGTTTGTTTTTGAGACAAGATCTCACCCTGTTGCCTAGGCTGTAGTGTAGTGATACGATCTTGGCTTATGGCAACCTCAGCCTCCTCAGGCTCAGCTGATCCTACCACAGCTTTCTGAGGAGCTGAGACTACAGGCATGTGCCACCACACTCAGCTAATTTTAAAAAATGTTTCTGTAGAAACAGGGTCTCCCTATGTTGCCCAGACTGGCCTCAAACTCCTGGGCTCAAGCTGTTAAACTTTTAACACTTGACAGTTTTCTGTGCTTACTTGACTGTTGGAATAATACATTTTTTTTTACTTTATTTGCATATAATTCATTATTGGTAGACCTCTAAAATATCTGTTCTACCTAATTAACAGGTATCTTAATGCAGCAGTTACAATTTCTTATAATCACATTATATTTGTATTCTAAGTATACTTAGACTATAACAGTTTTCTTTTAAATGAACTAGTTTTTAAAAATTTTCTTCATTATTTCCACATCATTGAACAGCCAGCTAAAGGAAACACTGACTAATCGAGACCGTGAGATAAACAGTCTCCGGCGCCAGCTTGATGCAGCTCACAAAGAACTCGATGAAGTAGGAAGATCTAGAGAAATCGCTTTTAAGGAAAACAGAAGATTGCAAGATGATCTGGTTACAATGGCAAGAGAAAACCAAGTATGAACATAATGCATAAATTTTGGTCGTTTTATACTATTTAGTCATTGTTTGCTAAATATTAAAACTCTAAACATTTTTTCTAAAATTTAATGATATAAATATAAGTGATATAAGTAATTCATTAAGGACAATAGTGTTATCAGGGTATTAAAAAATGTAGCTTAGGTCAGGCCCGGTAGCTCACACCTGTAATCTTAGCACTTTGGGTGGCTGATGTAGGTGGATCACTTGAGGTCAGGAGTTCAAGGCCAGCCTGGCCAACACAGTGAAACCCCATCTCTTCTAAAAATGCAAAATTAGCCGGGCATGATGGCATGTGCCTGCAATCCCAGCTGCTTGAAAGGCTGAGGCTGGAGAATCACGTGCACCTGGGAGGCGGTGGTTGTAGTGAGCCAAGATTGCACTGCTACACTCCAGCCTGGGCAACAGAGTGAGACGACATCTAAAAAAAAGTAGCTTAGAATGCTGCTAAATGTCACAGGGTGTCTAATGGGTGCAACTGGTCTTTTCACAATTTTGTTCTTTGTTGCGAGGAAACCTAAAGCTGGGAGCATGAAATTCTTTATGGCAGAAATCATTGGCACCTTACTGGGTGAGGACATCAGCATCACTCTCAGAGCAAAATTTCTGTGTTTTGAAGACTTGGGATAGGTTTTAATAATTTGTCTTCTGTCAGCTCTGAAATACACCTGTAGATAAATGAATAAGTGTTTTAAAATGGCAAATACTGAAAGGTATTAGTTCTGTTCGTGCTATTTCTTAAAAGATTATACTGAGAAAACCAGTGATTTTCCTGTTTTAAATATTTTATGTTTTATAAAAATAATTTTCAGTATTATTCAGCATGAAACATATTGCTGAAATATGAAGGTTTTTTTTATTGTCATCCCCTGACTACAGCTAGCCCTTAGTGTAAATGCAGATATATATGATATATTATGGGAAATGTGTGATAAAGTTTGGTTAAAAAGTCAGGATCAGACCAGGTGTGGTAGCTCACACCTATAATCCCAGCACTTTTGGAGACCAAAGTGGGAGGATTGCTTGAGCCCAGGAGTTCAAGACCAGCCTGGCCATCATAGTGACACCTCATCTCAGAAAATTAAAAAAAAAATTAGCTGAGCATGATGACATGTGCCTGTGGTCTCAGTTTCTCAGTGGGCTGAGGTGGAAGGATTTCTTGAGCCTAGAAGGTTGAGGCTGCAGTGAGCTGTGATCATGCCATTGCACTCCAGCCTGGGTGACAAAATAATACTGTGTCTGGAAAATTTTTAAAAGTCAAGAGCAGCTAGAAAAAATATGTGAAAATAACACTTAGGAACAGTTTTTCTTTTTTCCTACTCTATCTTATTCCCCAATTTCAAAGGAATTATTTGAGTATAAATAAAATTCATTTGGTGTGGTGTTCATTTTAGATTGTCTTTAATGTTCTGATTTGTAGGAAATCTCACTGGAATTGGAAGCAGCAGTGCAAGAAAAAGAAGAAATGAAGAGCAGAGTTCATAAATACATAACAGAGGTGTCACGATGGGAGAGCTTAATGGCTGCTAAGGTGAAAATCATTATTTCGGTTGGATTTAAAACTGAGGGTTTTTTAACTTTTTCATGTTTATTTATTCTGTCTCTCCAATTAGATATTAAACATTTTAAAGCAGAGATCCTGCCTATTGCCTTTTTCTATTTCCCCCATAGATCTTAGTGTGGTGCCTGCTCAGGTATCTAATGCTTCCTAAATTAGGACAGAATGCTCAGTGTGTGTATGTGTTTATGACATGGGTGTTCCAGTAAGTGACAGTTACTAATTTAGAAACAATTTTATTATGGTTTAACCAGGAAAAAGAAAATCAAGATTTGTTAGACAGATTTCAGATGGTTCATAACCGTGCTGAAGACTGGGAGGTCAAAGCCCATCAAGCTGAGGGAGAAAGCAGCTCAGTTCGGCTGGAACTTCTTTCTATTGACACTGAGAGGAGACATCTTCGAGAAAGAGTGGAGCTGTTAGAGAAAGAAATTCAAGAGGTAATATATTTATTTGTTTTGTAAAGATGTTTAGTGAAACAGAAAACAACAAACATACTTTTTTTTTTTTTTGAGGCAAAGTCTTGCCCTGTCACCCCAGACTAGAGTGCAATGGCACGATCTCACTGCAACCTCCGCCTCTTGGATTCAAGCAATTCTCCTCTCTCAGTCTCTTGAGTAGCTAGGATTATAGGCATGTGCCACCACACCTGGCTAATTTTTTGTATTTTTAGTAGAGACCACCACATTGGCCAGGCTGATCTCGAACTCCTGACCTTGAGTGATCCACCTGCCTCAGCCTCCGAAAGTGCTGGGATTACAGGCATGAGCCACCGTGCCCAGTCTCAAAGATACTTTCTTGACCTAAAGTTGTAAGCATTGATAAAATCAATTCATGGTAAATTTCTATCATTCTCATAATTTGCATAGGAACCCCATTACTTTTTTTTGTAGTAAAAGATACAAACATCAACTTTCCCATTTTAACTATTTTTAAGTAGACAGTTCTGTGGCATTAGTACACTCACAGTGTTATGTAACTGTCACCATTATTTGTCACCCTGCTTTCTGTCTTTATGAATTTGATTACTCTAAGTACCTCATGTAAGTGGAATCACACAATATTTATCCTTTTGTGACTGACTGATTTCACTTAGCCTTAAGGTTTACTTTACCTCAAGGTTCATCCATGTTGTGTAGCATGTGTCAGAATTTCATTCTTTGTTAAGGCTCAGTAACATTTCCTAGTGTGTATGTACCACATTTGTGTTTCACCATTCATCTCATTTGTCAGTGGACATTTGATTTGTTTCCACCTTTTGGCTGTTGTGAATAATGCTGCTGTGAACATGGGTATACAAATACCTGTTCAGGTGCTTGCTTTCAGGTCTTTTGGATATATACCCAGAAGTGGAATTACTGGATCATATGATAGTTCTATGTTTAATTTTTTGATGAATAACCATGTGGTTTTTCTATAGGTGCTATACCATTTGACATTTCTACCAGCAATGCACAAGGGTTCCAGTTGCTTCACATCCTTGCCTATACTTGTAATTTTTTGATTTTTTGTTTTATAAGAGCCATCATCATAGGAGTGGAGCAGTATCTCATGGTGGTTCTGATTTGCATTTCCTTAACAGTTAGTGATGTAGAACATCTTTTCATTTGTTTATTGATGATTTGTGTATTTTCTTTGGAGAAATGCTTATTCAAATCCTTTGTTCATTTTTTATTCAGAATGTTTTAAATTGTCTTACAAGTTCTTTATATATTCTGGAGATTAATACCTTAGTGTATATGTGATTTGCAAATATTTTCTCCCATTGTGTGGGTTGCCTTTTCAACAGTTTTTGATATACAGAAGTTTTTAATTTAAATGAAGTCCAATTTATTGTTTTTCTTTTGATGCCTATACTTGTGGTGTCATATCTAAGAAATCACTGCTAACTCCAATATCATAAAGCTTTTCCCCTCTGTTTTCTTCTAAGAGTTTTATAATTTTAGCTTATATATTCAAGTCTTTGATCCATTTTGAGTTAATTTTTACAAATAAGCTTTTGTCATAAAGACAGTCTGATAAAAATCTCATAATAAAGAATTCAAGTTCAGTTAAAATGTAGGGACCCTGAGTTAAATTGATATACAATAGTTGGCCATTATTGTCATTTTTGTTTTGTTTTGTCTGTATAGTTTCATAATCTTTATCTTTCAGGAGAAAGTATTGACTATCAGTAGCAGATAGAATTATGGCCTCCAAAAAGACATGTTGAGGTACTAACCCCCAGTCTCTTAGTTGGAAAAAAATGTCTTTGCAGATGGAATCAAGTTAAAATCAGGTCATAGTGGATTAGGGTTAGACCCTAAAAAACCAGTGGACTGATGACTTTATAGGACAATGGATATTTGGACACAGAAAACACTGGAGAGAACACTATGTGAAGATGGAAGCAAAGATTAGAGTGATCTGTGTAGAAGTAAAGGAATGTCAAGGACTGCCAGTAACCATCAGGAACGAGGAGAAAGGCAAAGAACAGATTCTGCTTCAGAATCTCCAGAAGGAACCAAACCTGCCAACACCCGAATTTGGGACTTCTAGCCTCCAGAATTATGAGAGAATAATTTCTATTTTTTTTAAGCCACACAATTTGTGGCAATTTGTTACAGCAGCCCTAGGAAACTAATACAGATTATGGCATCAGAAAATGGGTTGCTGCTGTAACAAACACCTAAAAATAATGAAAGTGGCTTTGGAAAATTGGATAATGAGTAGAGACTGAAAGAGTTTTGAAGTTCTTGACAGAAAAAGCCCAGATTGCCTTGAAGAGATCATTGGAGAAATATGGACGTTAAAGGCAATTGTGATGAAGACTCAGAAGAGGGGAGAGCTGTAAAGAAAACTTCTGTCATTTACAGAATACATGTATTGTCGTGAATGGATTTTGTGGGAAATACAAATGTTTCCTCTGGTGATGTCTCAGACAGAGTTGAGAAAAATGTTAGTGGACACTGGAGAAAAGATGTTACTTGTTATAAAGTGACAGAGAACTTGGCTAAGTTACAGTCTACTGTTGGGAGAGAAGTAGAACTTGTAAGGGATGAACTTGGACATTTAGCTGAGGAGACTTCCAAGCAAAGTGCGGAAGAGACAGCCTGGTTTCTCCCTGTTACTTATAGTAAAATGTGAGAGGAAAGAGAGAAATGGAGGAAGGAACTGAAAAGTGAAAAAAAAAAAACAAGACTTGAAACCAGGCATGGTGGCTAGCACCTGTAATCCTAGCATTTTGGGAGGTTGAAGCAGGCAGATCACTCAAGCATTCCACCTGTGACCACCAAAAAACTACGCTCAGGAGTCCTAGACCAGCCAGGGCAACATGGCAAAACCCCATCTCTATAAAAAAATTAGCTGAATGTGGTAGCAGGTGCTTGTAGTCCCAGCCCCTTGGAGAGCTGAGTTGGGAGGATCACTTGAGCTCAGGAGGTCAAGGCTGCAGTGAGTTGAGATTGCACCACTGCACTCCAGCCTGGGTAATAAGCTAAGACCCTGTCAAAAAAGAAAGAGAGAGAGAAACTAGGACTTGATGATTTTGGAAAAATCTTAGCCTATCCAGATAATGTGCTCTGGAGTGTGGCAAGAAAACATTTTGGTGAAGAGATTAGATAGGTGAGTCATGAATCCAGTTAGTCATCTCAGCAGAATCACTGCCAGCTTTGATTGAAAGAAACAGAAATGGGATGAAATGAAGGAAGGCTGTTGGACTTCTGGGATCCTACTAGCAGAAAACAGACCAACAGAGCTAATTGGCTGCAAGTTCACTTTCAAGAAAAGGACAGAATTACTCTAAGGGTAGCTCAGAGACCAGCAAGGCCACCACAGGCAGCTCAGAGGCCAGTGGGGCTGTAGCTATCACCACAAGCCCAGACATCATAGGTCCAGAAGATGGAGCTACTGTCTGTCTCCTTGGTTTCAGAGGGCAAGGCGACTGTCCCTGTGGACTAGAGGATGGGACCACCCTGGCCAGCTCAGAGGACAGAGCATCAGAGCACCAAAGAATCAAGGCACAAATGGCTATTCTTGGGTTTTGAAATCTAATGGATTCGGCCTCCTTGGTTGCAGACTTACTTTGGACTAGTAACTCCTTAATTCCTTCTATTTTCTCCCTTTTGCAGTGGGACTGTCTGTTTTATGCCTATCCCACCATTTTATTTTGGAAGCAGTTTACTTGTTTTCCAGTGTCATAGGTCTATAGATGGAGGAGAATTTTGTCCCAGTGTGGTCCATATTCATAGTCTCACCCATATGTGGTTTAGATGATGCTTAGATGAGATTTTAGGTTTAGAGTTGATGCTAGAATGTTGGGATGGAGTGAATATATTTTGTAGATGAGAAGGACATGAATTTTGGGGGATCAGAGGGTAGGTAGAATTGTGACCACCAGGAAGACATGTTGAAATCCTAATCCCCAGTATCTGTCAACATGACCTTATTTGGAAACCGGATTTTCGCAAATGTGAACAAGTTAAGATGTGATTGTGCTGGATTAAGGCAGGCCCTAACCCAGTGAGTGATGGTTTACAGAGTCCTTCAAAGTTGAGGGAAATTTAGATACATTATGTACAGAGAAGGCTGTGTAAAGATGGAGGCAGAGATTGGAGTGATATGTCTACAAGTCAGTGAACACCAAGGACTGGAAGCATCCACCAGAAGCTAGGAGAGAGGCATGGGACAGATTCTCCCACAGAAGCTCTAGAAGGAGCCAACTCTGCTAACACCCACATTTTGGACTTCCAGCCTCCAGAACTGTGAAGGGATAAATTTCTGTTTGTTTGTTTTTTTAACGCCCCCATTTGTGATAGTTTGTTATGGCAGCCCTGGGGAACTCATACTCTATCTCTAGAGTTTTTCTGTTAAGAGGAGTATAACTAATTAAAGGAATGCTTTCAACCTTCAAAAGAGGTTTTCAGAAACTATTCTCAACTAATCTTAATTTTGTTCTTTATTATTGTTCCTGTTCTTATGTGGTATATGAAATTCATTTTTACTAAAGTATAAATTGGCTTTTACTAAGTATAAACCAATTTCACAATACAATACTAAAGTATTATATTTGTTTAGGGGAGCTTTTATTAATGCACTAAAAAGCTAAATACTTTTCTGCAATTGTTGAAATTGATTAAATCTTCATAGCACAATATTAGATTTTCAATGTGAATCCATGGACTTTTTTTTTTTTTTTTTTTAAGAAACAGGGTCTTGTATATCACCCCAGACTGGGGTGGAGTGGCTTGACCATAGCTCACTACAGCCTTGAACTCCTGGGCTCAGGTGATCTCCTGCCCCAGCCTCCCAAGTAGCAAGGACTATAGGCTGTGCCAACATGCCCAGCTAATTTTTGTATTTTTTTGTAGCGACAGGTTCTCACTGTGTTGCGCAGGCTGGCCTCAGACTCCTGGGCTCAAGTGATCCTCCCACCTCAGCCTCCCAGAGTGTTGGAGTTGCAGACATGAGCGCCTGCCCTAGCCGTTGTAATAGCCTGTTGAAATAATTTTATTTTTCAAATGCAGAATTCTTCCCCAAACCTGGAAGTAGAGTTTATATCAGTTTGTATTTATCACTCATAATTCAAATTGTGAGAAATTTCCAATGTGGATTCTTCTAGAAAAAAATCTTTATCAGTATTTGAAATTTTTTAAATTTTGGTTATTAAAATATTAAAAAGTTTATACTATTTATTTAAGTTAAATTTAAATGACTTCAGGTATTTAGTTTTGAAGTAAACCCCATTTTTGGAATTTAAGATTTAACTAAAGACAGTTGGGAGTGATATGTATATATGTCACTTTTTCTTGAAATGGCATTATTGTAACAAAGATACTTTATAAAGGAAAAGTTTAATGCAACTTCAAAAATTCCTCATATTCACAACACCCTGACACAATAATTTTTTTTTTACATCTTCCAAATATATAAATATATACATGAGGTACTTAGTTATTATGATTAATAATTACACACAATTCCTTTTGTTAAGCATTAAATAGATCATCTTTAAATAGTAGGCAGCTTCCTGAGAGTAGTTTAAAATAAGCAAAAGTTGGCTATCATATTTTTCTAAAGTGGGGTTGTTGTCTGCAATCTCGAGTTCTTAAAATTATTGGATTATTTTAACTTTTTACTTGTTTGTTTTTATTTTTTTCAGCACATAAATGCCCATCATGCTTATGAATCTCAGATCTCGTCAATGGCAAAAGCCATGTCTCGATTAGAAGAAGAGCTGAGACGTCAAGAAGAGGAGAAAGTGACAGTATTAAATGACTTGTCATCTCTTAGAGAACTTTGCATTAAACTTGATTCAGGCAAAGATATTATGACCCAGCAACTGAATTCCAAAAACCTTGAGTTTGAGAGGGTAAGAAAGAGAAATTGTCTTGGCAAATTGTTGTATTGAGCCCTACTCTAATTGTTTTACTTTACCATTTACCACACTGTACACATATTTGTTTCTTTTTGGAGTAGTTACTTTTTTTTTTTGAGATGAAGTTTTGCTCTGTCACCCAGGCTGGAGTGCAATGGCATGATCTCGACTCAAGACAACCTCCACCTCCTGGGTTCAAGGGATTTCCTGCCTCAGCATCCCAGGAGCTGGGATTACAGGTACCCGTTAACACATCTGGCTAATTTTTGTATTTTTTAGTAGAGACAGGGTTTCACCCTGTTGACTAGGCTGGTCTTGAACTTCCGACCTCAGGTGATCTGTCTACATCGGCCTCCCAAAGTCCTTGGATTACAGGCATGAGCCTCTGTGCCTGGCCTAAAGTAGTTACTTTTGACTACAGGATTTTGACAACCAGATTTGACTACTTGAGTTTTTGCCAAGATTTCTCTGGCAAACATAATGATGAAAATGAGTTCTGTTTTGGAATAGATGGCTATCTAGGAGATTATGAGTTTTCTGATTATAAGTTAGGAACATATCCTAATACATTCTTTGTTTGTTTAAAAGTAAGACTTGAGGCCAGGCACAATGGCTCATGCCTATAATCCAAACACTTTGAGAAGCTGAGCAGGCAGATTGCTTAAACTCAGGAGTTCAAAACCAACCTGGGTAGCATGGTGAAACCCCATTTCTACAAAAAATACAAAGAATTACTCGGGCATATGGTGTGTGCCTATAGTCCCAGCTACTTGGGAGGCTGAGGTGGGCAAGGTTCACTTGAGCCTAGGATGTTGAGGCTACAGTGAGCAGAGATTATGCCACTGCACTCCAGTTTGGGCAAAAGAGTAAGACTTGGTGTCAAAAAAGAAAAAAGTAAGACTTGAATGAAGGATTGAACAGTTCAGTGCTTCCAAAGTAGAATATTTTTCTCGACAAAAGATCTCAAGGTATTTAAATCTTACTTAATTAAACAAGTCTATTTAGCTAATTTGCCACTCCCAAATGGAGGCATTACTTTAAATAACCGAGTGTGTGTTTTCTAACATGGATGTTTTCAATTTTCACTCATCTAGTAGTATCTTTATTTTCAGGTACTGAGAAGCTACAATACTGGCTTTATTATGTAGTCAGAGTAAACATATTCAACCAGAAGGGTCTCATTGCCCTTATGATTTTATGTTAATGACCTTCTCTTGACAAGGCAGCATGACTGAAAACTATTTGAGGGTTGGAGTAGATTCAATAGCCAAATAAGCCCATAGTAAATATAGCAAAGATTATTTTGAAAATAAAAGTGTTTTTCTTATACTTAAAGAAATGGTTCATAATCTTTAACCAATACCCAAAATGAAACAAGTGATGGATGAATAGTTCCACAGAGCTAGATTGTCAGATAATTTTTTCAGAGTAAATTTAAAATTGTACTGAAGTAATCTTACTTTGTTTTTCACGTAGGTTATGGTAGAATTAGAAAATGTAAAGTCAGAGTCAGACCTATTGAAAAAACAACTGTCAAATGAGAGACATACAGTTAAAAACCTTGAATCATTGTTGGCTACAAACAGAGATAAAGAATTTCATTCTCACTTAACCTCCCATGAGAAGGATACAGAAATCCAGCTACTTAAGGAGAAATTAACCCTTTCTGAAAGCAAATTGTAAGTGTCTTATGTCAACTTATGCTAAGAAAATTGCTTGTGAAGGACAATTTTTAAGTTTTTTTGAAGTGGAAGAAAGGTTAAGAACATGAAGGGTAGACCAGGTGCAGTGGCTCACGGCTGTAAGCCCAGCACTTTGTGGGAGGCCAAGGTGGGTGGATTGCCTGAGCTCAAGAGTCGAGACCAGCCTGGGCAACATGGTAAAACCTCGTCTCTACTAAAAATACAAAAAAGAATAGCCGGGCGTGGTGGCGCACACCTGTAGTCCCAGCTACTCGGGAGGCTGAGGTGCTAGAATTGCTTTAACTGGGAGGTGGAGGTTTCAGTGGGCTGAGATCACATCACTGTACTCCAGCCTGGGTGACAGAGCAAGACTTTGTCTCAAACAAACAAACAAAAGGAATATGAAGGGTAGTACAAAACCATAATGTTTGTGTCGGGGTCACCACCTGTGGGGGTCTGTCCTGCAGACCCTGACTCAATGATAGATGACTAAAGTACACTGACACACAGATATTATGCTTTGCCAGTTCAACTGAGTGTGTCCAGGCAGCTTACGGGCACCCTGGAGAATGCTGTAAATAGTTGTGACCGCTGGCCTCCACACGCTGGCCTCTCTGGCCTTTATTCAGCACACGTTAAGTGACAAAAACTGAGTCAACACCACTAGAGAGAACATTAAAGGACAGGTTCCAGCGCCCAAAGCAAACACCATTAGTGGGTAATATTCCTGATCAGCCTCCCCCTGAGAGAGTTATCCAGAATGATCAAAGGTTAATGAATAAACAAGTTAGTTAGGTAAACCCCCACATTCCTTTGTTTCTATTCTAATTTATTTAACTAAGGGGACAAGGCTGCCTTCAGCCAACAACTATAGAAAAAACCCTTAGGCCTTCCAAAAGGGTTTAAAACTATATTCAGTAACTTTCTCTAATATTTTTCCCTTAATATTTTTACCACCACCCTGAGTTAATCCCCAGTGTTTGGCTTCTATGTCTGCTGCTTTCGGAAATTCAGGAGACTGGCTCGGGAGAAACACTGTGTTGGGATGTGCAGACCTGTGTATCTTCACTGCAGAGGTGGTACCGTGGGAGTGAATGGGAAGAGAAATGTTAGGAAAGCGCCTACATTGGAGGAATGAAAGGAGGAGTCAGTGAAGGAGAGCGCGTTCTCAGGAGAAGAAGTGGCTGTGTCTTCTGCTGTAGATTAGGAAAAAAGACTCTAAAAAGGCTGTGAGATTTGACCCACATGTGTAATGATTACTTTGGGAAAGATTGATGATATCATAGCTTTAGAATAGAAAGATTTAGACATATTTATAGGAAGAGAAAAGGAAACCCAGGTTAGAGTACACATGGAAGAATGAGTTTTTGAAAGGTACTAAAAATATTAATATTTCTCTTTCCAAGGCAAGAGTCAAGAAAGAGCCAATGAAGACACTTTACATCTTGGTGTTACAGTTTATGTCTCATTCAAATTAGTGTCCTTAGCATTGCTTTAGTGCTTAGCACGTAATAGAAGTTCAGTAAATGTTTCATAAACTAAATGAATGAAAAAGAAAATGTGATAGAAGCTGTAGAAGTTTAGAGAATTCTTGTTGAAAGGTCTTGATATTCTCTTCATTAATTTTAAAAACTCACAGCACTTGACTCTACAAAACAGAATATTTATTTCTTGACTTTTAAAAATTTGTTTTTAAGAACTAGTCAAAGCCGGGAAAATACCATGCTTCGGGCTAAAGTGGCACAGTTACAAACAGATTATGATGCTCAGAAAAGACAGATCTCAACTGAGAGATACGAACGGTAAGACAAATTTTATTTACATTTGACAGTGTTTTCATGTGTTCTCTATCTTCAAAAAGTATTTAATATGGCTTGAAAAAGCACACTTTTTTAAAAGCTGATACATAAAGTACATTTCTTTGGTAATTCTTCCTTTTAAAAAAGGCAACAAGTATTGCAGAAGATAACATCCCTACAGTAACTAAAATAGCAAGTATTACATAGCGGATGCTTTATAAATATTTATTGAATAAAATTGTTTAATAATCTGAAAAATAAAGTAAAATAGCAAGTATTGTGTAAATACTTCCTATAGCATTTCGCAGGGCAAAATTAGAGCTCAAAATTATTTCAAAGAATATAGAGAAACAACAACCCCTACACGGGCTCCAGAATGTATGGTTCACATACGATGCTCCAGATACAAATCATCATAGAGGTAACGCTATTGAAGACAGAAGCAGCAGTTAGCAAATGTGGACCAGATACTACAAGTGTCTGATTAATCCTACCAGCAAATCTGTTATTATACCCACGTTATAGGAAACTGAGATCGCATAAATAGTAAATGGTAGGACCAAGAGTAAAATCAAACAGGTTTTAATTCTAAAACCTGTACCCATAGCCTCTCCAATATATTCCCTACAGCTTAGTAATTTTCATATTCACTCATATTTTGGTTCATTTGCTTTATGTTGAAAAATTTAATCCCCAAGCATTACAAACCCGGAATGAGACCTGGTTTAAGAATTAAAACTGAAGTCTAATTTGCAAATCAGTTGCCAAGTTACTTGTCTTCCATTACTCTTTCCTACTATATTAATACCATAGACATCTGCATTCCTGAGATTTCATTCTCAAATAGTGGTCAAATTACATGTTAGATCAGTTTTTGAGTTATTCTTACCTATTTACCTCAAAACTTTTTAGTGATGTGCTATTTGAAGTATAGAGACAATTTGCTATGAAACAAATATTTATGATTTCAAAAAAAGGTCTGGTGGGGTGGCTCGTGCCTGCAATCCCAGCACTTTGGGAGGCCAAGGCAGGTAGATTTACTTGAGCCCATGAGTTTGAAATCAGTGTGAGCAACATGGTGAAACACCATCTCTAAAAAAAAATTGAAAATTAGCTAGGGCGTGGTGATGGGTGCCTGTAGTTTCAGCTACTCAGGAGGCTGAGGTGGGAGGATTGATTGAGCTCTAAAGGTCGAGGCTGCAGTGAGCTGTCATCATGCCACTGCCCTACATCCTGGGTAACAGTGAGACCCTGTCTCACAAACCAAACAAACAGAAAAGTAAGTCTTAAGTAGCAGCAGTGACATGAAGCAGGATTGTTAATTTCTTATAATTTAGAAGATTTAGTTTTCTGGTACTAAACTGTACATATATAATGATTTGTATTTCTTAATGATAACTTAAATTCTCTGCAAATCATAAGTCCTAAATCAAGCTATTGCCCGGGGTTATAGACCTCTCCACAATTCCTCCCCTTTTTCCTTGCCCCTAGCCCTCAATGAAACCTTGAGCCTCATGACCATGTCTGTCTTGCACCTTACTATCCAACTATGTCATGCATTCTAAATGGTGAAGTATCACTCCCCATCCTCCAAGGGAAAAAATTATTTCCTGGGGATAAGAGATAGAGGCGGCAAAAAATTTTGGGTAGTATAAGTTAGTAGAATAGTTTATGTCCCTCCAAAGGCCACAGGACATAAGGAGTGTATTAAAATTTCATGGGGTGGAGGGATAACCTGGAGAGGAAAAAGTCTTTGAGAGAGTAATAATAAACAAATCTTGTAAGCACTGAACTAATTAGAAATCCCAGATACTGAATAACTCAAGGCAGAAAGAGTGTAGGCCAGAGACTATGAATAGCCCACAGAGGATATGGCAACATAATCCCCATTCTAGGTGGGGACAGACCCAGACACAGGGAAGGAAAGCATGATAGAGAAAATAGATTATTTCCAATCTGACTTTTGAGGCAGAAAGATGGAAGAGGGCAAGATATATGTGCAAGACCATATGGTAGGTCTGGCATGGTGGTTCATGCCTGTAATCCCAGCACTTTGGGAGTCTGAGGCAGGAGGACCACTTGAGGCCAGGAGTTCAAGACCAGCCTGGGCAACATAGTGTGACCCCTATCTCTAAAAATATTTTAAAAATTAGCAGGGCATGAAGGTGCACACCTGTAGTCCCAGCTCCTCAGGATGATAAGGTGGGAGGATCGCTTGAGGCCAGGAGTGAGCTACGATTGTGCCACTGCACTTGAGTCTGGGCAACAGAGCAAGCCCCTATTTCAAAAAAAAAAAGCACAGGAGAAAAATAAGTAAACCTAGCTGTGGGGAACATCAAAGTATAGGCAAAGGATCCAGTAACAGAACTAAGGAGAGGTCATCTAGGTAGAAAGAGAACCAGGAGATGTAGTGTCATGAAAACCAAGCGTGGTTACTAGCACCAAGTCCCGTAGAAAGTCTAGCATGTAGGCATTTAATTAAACAGGTTTGTTAGAATTTTTTTAAGGATACAGAAGAAAATTAAATTTATCTGTAAGTTCTACCCTCCATAGTCACCATTAGCCTTTTTGAGTTTAACATCTCGCCATCTCATGTTTGTGTGTGTCTCTCTATGTGTTCAGTTGGTATCCTATTTATTTTCACTATATATATATATATAAATTGTATATAATTTATATAAATTTGTATTTATATGTATATAAATACACATATATGTGTATATATACACCTATATAAATATATGTGTATTTGTATAAATATGTATAAATATATGTATATATTTATATGTGGATATATACACATAATAGTGTGTATATATGTGTGTATATACATATATACAAAATTATATATATTTTACATATATGTATTTTTATATATGTGTATATATACACACATATATAGTGAGCATTTTGCTTCTAAGGTGTTATTTTAATGACAGCCTGCTATTCTGACATGGTTATAACATAATTGCTTTGAACAGTCTCTTATAGTACATATTCTTTTAATTGAAATCTTTTGTCCACTACTTAAAAATTGTACAAAGACATAGGATTCAAGTTTAATAGTAATAATAATTAAGTAATTTATAACAAATTAGCTAATAACTCTTACATTTGTATACCACTTTTTGATTTTTCCTGATGCTTCCATATATCTCTCTTTTTTGATCTTTATTAACAGAGAACGAGCAATCCAAGAGATGCGTCGACATGGTCTTCCTACACCACCCCTTAGTTCTACTCTGAGGTCTCCTTCACATTCTCCTGAACGTATCAATGTGTAATTATCAGAAAGGTACGTATGTAACACCAAGGACAGGCAAAACTCATCTGTGGTTGTAACAATTCAGAAAGTAGTTTTCTACATCAGGAAATGGAAGATTGCCTGAAAAGACATTCAGGAGAACTCTCTGGAGTAATGGAAAAGTTCTGTATCTTGGTGATAGTAGTTATGTGGGTTATATACAGTTTGTAAAAATTCATAAGAACTGACCATTTACAGTGTATGCATTTTTTTTAAGACATCAGGTCTCGGCCAGACACAGTGGGCTATACCTGCTATCCCAGCACTTTCAGAGGCTGAGGCTGGAAGATCACCTGGGCAACATAGTGAGACCCTCATCTCTACGAAAAATACAAAAATTAGCCAGGCATGGTGGCACACACCTGTAGTCCCAGCTATCAGCTACTGGCCGGGGGATAGGGCAGATACGGAGGCAGGAGGATGGCTTGAGCTCAGAAGGTTCAGGCTGCAGTGAGCTATGATTATACCACTACACTCCAGTCTGCATGAGTAAGCAAGCCCCTATCTCCCCCGCCCAAAAAAGACAGGGTTCTCACTATCTTGGCTGGGCTGGCCTCAAACTCGCAGGCTCAAGCAGTTCTCCCACCTCTGCCTCTTGAGTAGCTGGGACTGTAGGCTGGTCCATGCATTTTATTGCATGTAAATTATACCCAAATTGAAAAAGAGAAGACATCTACAGCATAACATTAAATGACAGTATGAGCTATCACAGGGTTTTATTTGATGAAGGGCCAAATTAAAGCCACAAGTAATAGGTAGTAAAAGTGTAGACAAAGCATAGAAACAGGAGTGCACATGGTACAGTAGTCCCAACCTGGCAGGAAGGGCAGGTTGTAGGGGAATAATGAGGGAGAAAGAAGCGAAATGGATGGATCACTGGATATATATGTATGTTCAAGCTATAGTAGATATGGCAAAACTGTTTTCCAAAGTAGTTGTAAAGAGCTAGGACGCATTTGACTGAGGAAGGGTCAAAGGGTTGTGCTAATTCACTGGAGATAAGAATGAATGGGAAAGGAACATGAGTCAAGACTCAGGCTTTGACAGGTAGTAACTGTGAAAAATGCATACTCATTGACAGAAATAGTTATGCCAGTCTTGTTTAAATTGATGCATTTCTTTGCTTCTTTTAATAGGAATATATGGAAGATAATTAAACATTTCCTCTGACTCAGAATCCTCATTGTGAACATTAGTTATGTGTTATGCTTTAACATAGTGATGCCCTCATGTTTGTAGGGCCTAGGTTTAAATGATTCCTGATTACTCTGCTTTTGCTTCTGTGTTTGATTAAGGCATTTATTTTTCTCTTTCACTTTGAGGACCACTTCTCAGTGTTCACTGTAGTCACTGTGTCCTTGAGTTGCTGTGTTATTTTAATGTGAACAAGTGGTGGTTCACCTTCTTGTTACAAAGCCTTGGAAGAGTGTGACAGACATTTTCTCATGTTTGATTTACAGCTGCAGTTTAGATCAGGGGTTGGTTGGTAAACTAGGATCTGCAAGCCAAATCCATACCACTGCCCATTTGTGTAAATTAAGCTTTATTGGCACGCATTTGTTAACAGGTTGTCTAAAACTGCTTTTCTGCAGTGGCAAAGTTGAGTAGTTGCAATAGACCCTGTGGCCCACAAATCTAAAATATTTACTTCCTGTCTCTTCACATCATGTAGCTCTGGAAAAACTCAACTCTAGACCTGTGAGAACATAAGAGTGAAAGGCAAAAAATTCCTTGGTTTTATGAAAATAGGCTTGATCTTGTAGAGTCCCTGAAAGAGTATTGGGGGCTCCCAGGGACCCCCAGACCAAACTTTAAGAACCGCTGATATAGAACATAGATTCCAGCAATCCCTGAAGCTGTGATGAATTAGACACTGCTTTTGTTTTTTATTGCATTTTTTTTTTTTTTAGAGCCAGGGTCTCACTGTGTCATCCATGCTGTAAGAATGTGGCATGATCATAGCTCACTGAAACCTCAAACTCCTGGGCTCAAGCAGTCCTCCTGCTTCAGCCTTCTGAAACTGGGACTACAGGCATGATACCGCACCCATCACCACTATCTAATTCTAAGATATTTTTTATCTTCCCAAACAGAAATTCTGTACCCGTTAAACAATAACTATCTAATCCCCAGGCCTCACCTTCCCAGCTCCTAGGAACTTCAAATCTACTTTTTGATCTCTATGAATTTGCCAATTTTCAATTTTCATATAAGTGAAATCATTTGTTCTTTTGTGTCTGGCTTATTGCACTTAGAGTAATATTTTCCAGGTTCATCCATATTGTAGTATATGCCACATTTTAAAAATCCTTTCATCAAGACACCTGGGTTGTTTCTACCTTAGGGTTATTGTGAATAATGCTGCTGTAAGCACTGTTGTGCAAGTATTTCCAGATCTTTTGGTATATACCTAAGACTAGAACTGCTGGGTCATATGGCAATTCAGTCAGACTTTTTGAGGAACTGTGAAACTGTTCTCCACATCCTGTACCATTTTACATTTTCACCAGCAATGCATGAGGGTTCCCATTCTTCACATCCTCACCAACACTTGTTATTTTCCATTTTTGAAAATTACAATGATTGGGCCGGGTGCGGTGGCTCAAGCCTGTAATCCCAGCACTTTGGGAGGCCGAGGCGGGTGGATCACGAGGTCAGGATATCGAGACCATCCTGGTCAACATGGCGAAACCCCGTTGACCCCGTAAAGATACAAAAAATTAGCTGGGCATGGTGGTGCATGCCTGTAATCCCAGCTACTCAGGAGGCTGAGGCAGGAGAATTGCCTGAACCCAGGAGGCAGAGGTTGCGGTGAGCCAAGATTGCGCCATTGCACTCCAGCCTGGCTAACAAGAGTGAAACTCTGTCTCAAAAAAAAAAAAAAAAATTACAATGATTCTAGTCCATGCGAAGTAGAAAAGTTTTATAACCATTAACAAACTCATAATTTATAACTTTGTAATAATTTACAATTAATTTTTGAAGTATATTAATGAGATTGTTATTTACTAATCCATTTCCACTCGTGTATTCTGAATATTGTCACCAAAACCAATTTTAAGGGATTTCCCTAAGCACTCAGAAATGAATTGCTGAAGGAAAAAAAAAGAATTGCTCAACTATAAAATGGCATCTCAGATTGGTGTTTCTCTGATAGTTAAAATATACAATCCAACTTTTATTCTTTCTTTTTTGACTATCATATCTAATACACACTATTTGAGACAGGAAATACCAGAAGTGTTTTTCCAATTCTCATACACCACTCAGCACCACTTCAGATTCTCCAGCAGACACCAATTGATCTCAGTTTCAACATTTAACTCAATTCCGACATTATCTGCCTGGAGATAGCGTCAGATCCCATGGATTAAGAGTTCAGTCACAGATACCCCTTCCCCTTGATGCTAATCGCAAGCCCCAGGTTGTGATTTATGCTTCTGACTGAAGAGGTTTCCACAACCCCCTCATCACATTCTATTAATTTGCTAGAGCAGCTCACAGAACTCAGGGAAACATTTTACATTTACCTGATTATTGAAAAGGCTATTACAAAGGATATAGATTAACAGGCAAATGGAAGGGATGCCTAGGGCAAATTGTCAGGGAAGCAGCTCAAAGCTTCTGTGCCCTCGCAAGGCACACCACCCTCCAAGCATCACCAAGTGTTAAGCTATGGAAGGTTCCCGAACCCAGTTTTTGTAGGTTTTATGCGGGTATCACCAAGTAAGCATGATCAATCAGATTATTAGTCATTGGTGATCAACACAACCTTCAGCTCCTCCTTTCCCTGGCGATTGAGGTGCGAGAATTGAACAGCCCAATTCTCTAGTCAGGCATTGGTCTTTCTGGTGACCAGCCCCCATCCTGAAGCTATCTAGGGGTCCCTAGCCACCAGTCATTTCATTAACTTGCAAAAGACGCACTTAGCACTCTGGAAATTACAAGGAGCTGTGTGCCACGAAACAGGGGCAGAGACCCAATATATACAGTCATGCATTGCTTAACAACACGGGATATGTTCTGAGAAATTTGTTTAGGTGATATCATTGTGCAAATGTCATAGAATGTATGTACATATACAAACAAAGATGGTATATAGCCTACTACATACCCAGGCTATATGGTATAGCTTCTTGCTCCTAGGCCATAAATCTGTGCAGCGTGTTACTTTACTGAATACTGTAGGCTGTTGTAACACAATGGTATTTGTGCATCTAAACACAGAAAATGTACAGTAAAAACACAATTTAAAAGTTAACAAATGACACTCCTATATAGGGAACTTGCCACAAATGGAGCTTGCAGGCCTGGAAGTTGCTCTGGGTGAGTCAGTGAATAAGTGGTGAGTGAATGTGACGGCCTAGGACATTACTGTTCACTGCTATAGACTTTAAAAATGCTGTACACTTAGCTATACTAAATATATTTTTTAAATTTTCTTTTCTTTTTTTTTTTTTGAGTCGGAGTTTCGCTCTTGTTACCCAGGCTGGAGTGCAATGGCGTGATCTCCACTCACCGCAAGCTCCGCCTCCTGGGTTCAGCCAATTCTCCTGCCTCAGCCTCCCGAGCAGCTGGGATTACAGGCACGCACCACCATGCCCAGCTAATTTTTTGTAATTTTAGTAGAGACGGGGTTTCACCTTGTTGACCAGGATGGTCTCGATCTCTCGACCTCGTGATCCACCCGCCTCGGCCTCCCAAAGTGCTGGGATTACAGGCGTGAGCCACCGCGCCTGGCCCTGTTTCTGTTTTTTAAGAGACAAGGTGTTGCTCTGTTGCCCAGACTGAAGTGGTGCAGTGCACCATCAGAGCTCACTGTAGCCTTGAACTCCTGCTCAAGCAGTCTGCCACCTTGGCATCCTGAGTAGCTGGGACTACAGGTGTGTGCACCACACCTAGCTAATGTTTGTATTTTTTTTTATAGATATGGTTCTTACTGTATTGTCCACACTGGTCCTGAACTCCTGGGTTCAAGTGATCCTGCCTCAGCCTCCCAAACTGCTGGAATTACAGGCACGAGCCACTGCGCTCGGCCTGTATTTCTTATTATAATGCAATATCACACAGACTCACTGAGGAAACATAAAATACAGAGATATGTTAATGAGGAAACAAAAATCACTTTTTTAAACAAAAGTATAAACCAGGCAGGGTAGCTCACACCTGTAATCCCAGCATTTTGGGAGGCCACAGTGCGAGGATCACTTGAGCTTAGGAGTTTGAGACTATCCTGAACAACATAGTAAGACTTCATCTCTACTAAATACCAAAAAACTGAGCTGGGCATGGTGATGTGCACCTGCAGCCTCCGCTACTCTGGAGGCGGAAGCAGAAGGATCACTTGAACACGGGAGATCAAGACTGCAGTGAACTATGATCACACCACTGCACTCCAGCCTGGGCAACACAGCAAGACGGGGTCTCTAAATAAATAAGTAAATCAATAAAATAAAGTACAATGAATAAAACAGTATTTGAACTTTAAGAAGTAGAACAGTACTTCTTGATATATCTGGATTTGGGGCACAGAGTTTTATTAGTCCATAATTTCATTTAAAACATGGTTAAATTTCAGTTTTTTATGAATATGTTGAATAACTTTATCATTTTTCTCTTAACCCACTTTTCAATTTTCCCCCTTTCAGAATAATGGCTTTCAATGAGTTCTTATGTGGATTTTCAAAAGAACAGAACAGTAGTGAAATATTTGAAGTACTTGTTGCTGAAAATCATGAACATGGACACAAATTCTACCTCTGTCAACTTGTATTTAAATCAGTGAATATTTATGTTAAAAAGTTTGGTTTAAATGAACCGTATATGTATATTTTCATATATATGACAGAACAAGAATATGTGTTAATAGTGCCTAACTCATGCTGTATCTATATTTTTATTATTTCTGAAAGAAATTACTCAAAGTATGTTTATACTGTGAATTGATATAATGTATTACTCACATGCTTTAATAATTTGTTTCTTAATAAGCAATGACATATGTATGTAAATATTCTTACAGTACTTTAGTTTTCATGCCTATGTTTAACCCATATTTTAATATATTCACAAAGAATTGTCAACTTCAATGCTATGCTGTCATGCTTAACTTTTCCTTAAAATTATTCATAGATTTACTGTCATCAAGGGGAAGGTATTCAGGTCTAGTCTTCTTATAATAGCAGAGGTCTCGGTAAAACAATGATTACCATATATAATGTGTTACTGCCAACTAGAAGAACTATGATGAGAAAGATACCTTTATATACTATGTAAAATATTGTTTTAACTATCATCATATGGGCTGTTTACATAACACAAATTGTATCAAAATCGAACTAAAAGCTTTATGCAGAGTTTTGTATAAAGCAATAGAACAGAAATTTGGGACATTTTTCTAGTAAATAAAATTCCTCAGTTTATTAATCTAAGATTTCAGAGTATAAGAGTATATGGGGTAGGCCAGGCGTGGTGGCTCACGCCTGTAATCCCAGCAATTTGGGAGGCCAAGGCAGGCGGATCACCTGAGGTCAGGAGTTCGAGACCAGCCTAGCCAACATGGTGAAACCCCGTCTCTACTAAAAATACAAAAATTAGCCAAGCATGGTGGCAGGCACCTGTAATCCCAGCTACTCAGGAGGCTGAGGCAGGAGAATCACTTGAACCCAGGAGGCGGAGGTTATGGTGAGCCAAGATCGCACCATTGCATTCCAGTATGGGTGACGGAGTGAGACTCCATCTCGAAAAAAAGTACATGGGGTAAATACAGTAAAACATTTTGTTAAATTACAATATATATTCAGTGATACTACTCTTTTTCTTCTAAACCTGTGTGATGTAATTTACCAGTTTTCCAGAATGGCATTTTAACACTGAACTGTGGCATATACATGGAAAACGGCTTTTTACAATTAATTTTCAAAGTTGTAATTTTAAAGAATTTAGGTGTATACCTATATTAATGAAACAACAGAAGTACAAAATGTAATGTCAGCTACAAAAATTAATCGTGTTTGAACCATAGACATTTGAAAAAAATCCTCTTAACATATTTTGTTGTGATTGAAAACATACAAACTAACATAGGAAAGTGAAAGATCAGTTACTTATGATATCTTTTGTTCCCTCTTGTGGTTTAATAAAGTGGAGTGTGTGTGTGTGTGTGTGTGTGTGTGTGTGTGTGTGTACGTACCTGGGGGTGGGCAGTGCTCTTTTTCTAAAATGAATATGCCTTATATATCTGAATTATGCCCTTTTTAGTGTGTATTTGGATGTGGGCTGGTTTGCTTTTCTACCACCTTTGTAATTTTATGTATCCCAACTCCTTTTGTGAATTCATGTATTATAGCAAAATATAAAAGACATGGGACTGTTTGCAATACCATATGGAAATCTTTTAATAAATGTATGTAAATAAAAAATATTTGTCCCCACCTTTTCCCCCAAAGCAACAGCAAGACATTTTGTTAGATATTTTTAATGTTTTCTATAATTTAAAAATGTATAACCTGCCAAATTGTTGTTTTTATAACCATGGTTTTTTTTGAAAAACAATTTTATCTTAAAATACTGAATGCTCTGACCTTTTATAGATGTTTTTAATTTTGTTTCAAATAATTTTAAATTATGGAGCTTGACCTAGATTTGCCAATAAACTTTCTAGTCAATTTTCCCTTTCTTACAAATAAGATTTTTATAATTTTATATTACCGATATTCTTAAGTCTAAAATTAAATAAAATTTATTCAAATTAAACTTTATCATGGTGCGATATGGGTAAATCCCGGAACATAGGTGCCAGGCACCTTTCTTAACTGACTTTTATTTCCAGTTAGTTCAAAATAGTAACAAAGTCAAAGTTTATTTTTGTTTTCTATCCACAAAACGGTTAAACGTGTATGTGTGAATATACGCTCTTCTCACTTGGAAATGCTCTTTGTTGAGCACATTAACTCCTATTAAACTATGACACCAGTTACCCTACCTTACTGTAATTCATCATACAAGTGGTCTCATTCTTCTTTCCCCAATCCTTAGAATATTTTAGCAAGTGGTTTACTATCTACCATTAATTCTATCATCAGCCTTTTTATGTCAGTATCTTCTTGGGCCAATGGTTATGGACCATACCTGCAGACCGTAGTTATCTGAAGAATTTTAATGAAAAACTGATGTCTGAACCTCCACACTAGACCAAATACATCAGAAATTCTGCAGTTGAAGTGTGGTCTTTAAAAAATTTTTAGACTTTAAAAAAACTGACATAGAATATACATATTTATGAGGTAGGTAGTGATGTTTCAATACATACAATATATAGTGATCTGATCATTGTAATTAGCATATCCATCATCTCAAACGTTTATCATTTTGTGTTGAGAACATTCAGAATCCTCCTCCTAGACGTTTGAAGCTATATATTAACTAGAGTCATCCTGCAGTGGTAGAGAACACTAGAAACTTCTCCCTCTTATATACTACCTATCTATTTTGTATCCTTTAGCAAATCGCTCCCTGTCGCTCCCTTCCCCCCATCCTTCCCAGCCTCTAGTATCCTCTATTCTACTTTTTACTTCTGTGAGATCTTTTTTTAGCTTATACGTGAGTGAGAACATGCAGTGTTTAATTTTCTGTTCCTCACTTATTTCACTTAGTTAACAATGTCCTTCAATTCCTTCCGTGTGGCTGAGAATGACAGGATGGTAGTTTTGTTTGTTTTTAAGGTCCTCTAGAAGACTAATGTTCAGCAGGGTTAATAATGTTAATTTAAGAAACCGATGCACCAAAGTGGTTTCATGACACACAAATGGGACTTAACTTACAGTTTTGAAGAACACTGCTTTAGATCTTGTCATCAACTCCAAAGTCCCAATTTCTAGCATCCTACTCACCCCTCTTTTGAGGTTACTGTATTGACTATGCCTCTACCAACAATTCTTTGACTCCACTAGGTTCTTTGGACAATTGGTTCTATCATCTATCCCTTATCTATAATTTAATTACCCTCACTTTCTTCTTTAGCATAGGCATCATTGTCCTTGCACATCCCCTAAATTATTGCCCTTCTGATCTGAAAACTCCGGTTTATCTCCAGTTACTCCAGCTGCTTGCATCTATACCTACTGGATCTTTTTACTTTAAATTTATGGCCCTGAAAATCAAAGGCCCACAGCACTGTGTGGCAGTCCTTATACACTGCCCTAGTCAATTCACACTTAACCTCCCCCAGCAAGTATTCTTTTATTATATCCTCTCACTTTGTTTCTTTTTTTCTATGAGAAAATGAAAGCAATAGAACTTTCTCACTCTCCAATCTATCAACATGTTCTCTATCCAACTAATTTTCTTCCTTCCTATTAGGATATGAACCATCTCTACCCTTTGGCCATTCTGTCTAGTTATGATCGGTAGCCATCCCTTCTACTAAAAAGACTTCCGCTAGGTATGGTGGCTCAGCCTATAATCCCAGCACTTTGGAAGGCTGAGGCAGGAGGAACACTTGAGCCCAGCAGTTCGAGATCAGCCTAGGCAACATAGGGAGACCTTATCCAGAAAACTTTTAAAAAATTAGCTGGACATGATGGCGTGCACCTGTAGTCCCAGCTATTTGGGAGGCTGACGGGGAAGACCACTTGAGCCCAGGAAGTTGAGGTTGCAGTGAGCCGTGATTGTGCCACTGCACTCTAGCCTGAACACAGAGTGAGAGGCCCTGTCTAAAATTAGATTAAAAAAAGACCCCATATTCCTGAGTCATTTTTGCTCTATTGGCTTGTTCTCACTTGCATATATACCTCCCGTTTTTAATCTCCCATTTTAAAACCTTTCCAGCCCTACCATTCCATTTTTATACCCTTTATAGCAAAAATTCCCAGAAAAAGTTATCTAATTCATGTCATCTCCCCCTTAACAGCCACCTTTCTTTCTTGAACTACTCCAATCCTGCTTAAACTCCCGTTATTCCAGTGAAACAGTTCTTATCAAGACACCAACCCCATGTTGTCAAATCTGATGAATCATGATCAGTCTTCTATTTACTCCATTTCTCAGCAGCATTTCACACATTGATTTTTCTATTCTTTAAAATACATTTTCTGCATCCAGGTGTGTTGGTTCAGGGCTGTAATCCCAACACTTTGGGAGGCCAAGGTGGGCAGATCACCTGAGGTTAGGAGTTCGAGCCCAGCCTGGCCAACATAGTGAAATCAAATAAGTTTATAAGAATACAAAAATTAGCCGGGCAGGCACCCGTAATCCTAGCCACTTGGGAGGCTGAGGCAGGAGAATCACTTAAACCTGGGTGGCAGAGGTCGCAGTGAGTCAAGATCACGCCATTACACTCCAGCATGGGCAACAAGAGCAAAACCCTGTCTCAAAAAAAAAACAAAAAAACAGCTGAGTGTGGCGGCTCACACCTGAAATCTCAGCACTTTGGGATGCTGAGGCAGGTGGATCATTTGAGGTCAGGAGTTCGAGACTAGCCTGGCTGACATGGTGAAACCCCTTCTCTAATAAAAATACAAAATTAGCCAGGTGTGGTGGTGCACGCCTGTAGTCCCAGCTACTGGAGCGACTGAGACGGGAGAATTGCTTGAACTTGGGAGGCAGAGGCTGCAGTGAGCTGAGATGGCACTACTGCACTCCAGCCTCAGCAAGACAGAGCAAGACTGTCTCAAAAAAAAAAAAAAAGAAAGAAAGAAAACATACCAAACATCCTGGTTTTTCTACTTACTGGTTTTTCAGTTTCTTTTATCATATTCGCCAACATTTCCTGACTTTTTTTTTCACTTGAGTTTTTGTGTGTGTGTGGTAAACATACCATACAAATTATCATCTTACCCTTTTTAAAATGTACAATAGTGTTAGTTTTATTCACATGGTTGTGAAATCTCTTCTCAACTTTTAAATGTAGACATATACTAGGGTCTTAGTTCATCTCTACTTACTCTCTTTTTAACTTTAGAATTTATCTCTTTTGCTTCTGCCTTTTTTTCTGAATTCTAGACACATATATCTGAGTATCTGCATTAGTTCTTTCTCACATTGCTCTAAGGATACTAACTACCTGAGACTGGGTAGTTTATAAAGAAAGCAGGTTTAACTGACTCACAGTTCCACATGGCTGGGGAGGCCTCAGGAAACTTAGAATTACAGTGGAAGGCAAAGGAGAAGCAAGGCACATCTCACATGGTGACAGCAGAGAGAGCACGAGGGGGGAAGTACCACACACTGTTAAACCATCAGCTTGTGAGAACTCACTATCATAACAGCATGGGGGAAATCTGCCCCGATGATCCAATCACCTCCCACCAGGTCCCTCCTCCATACATGGGGATTACAATTCAAGATGAGATTTGGGTGGGGACACAGCCAAACCGTATCACTACCTATTCGATATCTCCACTTAAATAAGCCAAAGTCACACTAAACAGCTAAGTAAATTGTACCACCATTGTATTAGTCTGTTCTCAAACTGCTATAAAGAAATAGCTGAGATGAGATGGGGTAATCTATAAAGAGGTTTGATTGGCCACAGTTCCTGCCGGCCATACAGGAAGCATGGCACTGGCATCCGCTTCTGGGGAGGCTTGAGGGAGCTTTTTACTCATGGTGGAAGGGAAAGCAGAGGCCTCTTCCATGGCAGGAGCAGGATTGAGAGACCAGAGAGGTGTTACACACTTTTAAACAGCCACGTCTCATGAGAACTCACTCACTATACAGAACCAAGGGGTAAATGGTGCTAAACAATTTCTTAGAACTTTGCCCCCACGATCCGGTCACCTCCCACCAGGCTACACCTCCAGCATCAAGAATAAGATTTCAACACCTGCTTAATCCAGTCAACAGGCTAGGACCAAACCTGTTCAATTTGTCTCATACAACATTTAATTAAGGTGAATATAAACAGGATTCTAAGTAGCAAGAAGAGGCCAGCTAGCAGTATTGGCTCATTTGTGCCTTCCAGGAGCCCAGACATAGCCAACTGTGAATACCTACCGTGGTGAGAGCAGAGGATTGTATTTTATTCATCCAGGATGTAGTCTAAAGCCAGTCTGTTACCCTTCATGATGCATACAGTTTACACTGACCTGAGAATCTCGGATGCCATTGACAAGTGGACAATAGATAAGCCAGAAAGCAGCACTCATCTGCAGTGGAGAGAAAGTTCATGGCTCTGTCTCCCCCATGTACAAACATATAACCCAAAAGTCACAAGTCACTCCGATTTGGATTTTGTGGCTCTTGGGTTGGTTAAGACACATGGACTGGCTGGGTGCGGTGACTCACGCTTATAATCTCAGCACTTTGGGAGGCCAAGGTGGGTGGATCACCTGAGGTCAGGGGTTCGAGACCAGCCAGACCAACATGGTGAAAATTCATCTCTACCTGAAATATAAAAATTAGTCAGGCATGGTGGTGCCTGTCTGTAGTCCCAGCTACTCAAGAGGCTGAGGCAGGAGAATCACTTGAACTAGGAGGCAGAGGCTGCAGTGAGCCAAGATCGTGCCATTACACTTCAGCCTGGGTGACAAGAGCAAAACTCTGTCTCAAAAAAAAAAAAAAAAAGACACATTGACTATGTCTCTAAGTAGTTGCAGCCTTGATAGTCACACATAGCATGAACCAAGGCTGCACAGCAGAGAGGAGATGCATATGAATTTGTATCCATGA